GAATCGGTAATATGTGATCAGAAACATGCCCTTTCCTTTTAAAAAAACCTGAAAACAAAAAGGCAACCCTGAATAAGTTAACATTAAAAAAAGTAAATAAACGATAAAAATGATTTCAGTTTGTCTGGTCTAACTCCGCTCTCTAGGACTAACAAAATATTTTCGTTTGCTATTTAATTTATCGGAAATTTTGAACCATAGAACTGTCTTACTGACATTTTGTTAATTCGTTATGTTTCTTTTACACAAAGAACTATACAACCAGCCTAACGTCCTGCAATGTATTTTCTGTTCTTAAAAGATATGTGTCAGTTTTCTATTTTAAGGTATCCAAATTGTCAAGCTTTGATTCTTGCAGTTGCTGTATAAAAAAGAATGTCTGGATAAATCTGCTTAGACTTTAAACCGCAAACATTTATTTATAGACCAAATTCTAAATTCTGTCTCAAGCCTCATGCTAATTGTTATGAAAATTTTGAAAATTAATTGGAAAGTAATATGCGTTGAAGTAAGCAAATAAAATAATTTACACATTGTAAATGGCACTAATAACCAACTTATAACACCAAAAAGTGGTCAAAATATGCAAAATAACCTTAAATGTGTCAATCATGCAATTACTGCAAAAACAGTCATTAATAGCACAAAACATGTTGATCATTACTTGGATCTTTTTGACTTTTCTTATAATCTTAGTAAATTTTTCTTAAGTATAATGCTCCGCCGATTTCACTATATTTTGATCTGCGACATGTGTAATAGACGAAATTGTTTGTTTCTTTTTTTCATATATTTTATCATATATGTTATCATTTATTTTCAAAACATTATACTATATACATGAGAAATTCCATATGAGACATTCGTAAATAATACAATATAGGCATACTCTTACAAGAAAAAAACAAAGAAAAAATACCTAGAATATATAAAGATTAGTGGTTATCTTTAAAGACATACATGTATATTACCTTTATCTTCTTGTATTGATAGAACTAGCATGTAAGTTAGTGATATTTATAGGGTTTATCGTCATTTTTCAAGAAAGACCTCTTTGTCGAATTCGTTAGATTTTACTTTGAACTTTGTATGATTATGTCCCTTCGACCAGTTGGTTATCTGCTCACCCATGACGTTTCCCTCCCAAAATTAGGGTCACCTGAGATCATTCTTTGTGTAATCAGAAGTTGTGGGTCATTTTGACATGTATATGTGTTTTTCTAACTTCAAAATTATTATTAAAATCTTAAGGTTTGAGGAATTTGGTATTTGTATGTTTTATTCATTTGCTATCAAAAGTTCTAATGTTAACTAAATTAAGATATACTTTAATTAAAAGTGATTTTGACAGATAAGTTATATTCTAGAGTGTTAGAATTCAAGATGGCAGCATACTTTCTTGACTTACAGTAATTCATAGAAATCAATGTTTCTATTTGTTATGCACTGATTGTTGTAAATTACAGTTAATAAGCAAAATTAACAGCACAGTGAGACATACGGGTGTGAAGAAGCAGGAGTTTGATCCACAATTGTTATGTTATGTTATATTTATATGTATTTGACTATATATCTTGGAACTACATGTATAATTTTAATGTAATCATACATTGCATATGTCATGTGGTCGATATTCGTGTTTTTGAATATCGTTTTTATGTAACTATACATGTTGGTCCTTGTATATATATATATATATATATATATATATATATTATATATATATATATATAATATATATATATATAATATATATATATATATATATATATATATATAAATAAAACAAAAAACACAGTCCATGAGTTAACTTATTTAATTATTTGCCAACCGGTTTCTCTTATGATCATCAGGGCAAATGTGACATTTGCCCTGATGATCATAAGAGAAACCGGTTGGCAAATAATTAAATAAGTTAACTCATGGACTGTGTTTTTTTGTTTTATTTATATGTGACTTTTTTTCCGGCACTTGTTTTCATTTTTTTATATATATATATATATATCTCTTGTATTTGTCTGTTTACAGTCCGATATACAATCCATTATCCCATATCATTCCTATATCATTCCATTTCATCATCTCATTATAACAACTAATTTCTCATATTTCATTTTGACATAATTTGCATGCCGGGCCTCCGTTTTTACAAACTTCGCGGAAAATCCACCTCACGCATGCGCACTTTGATATAAATATTCCTATTGGTTTGCACCAGAAATTGTTATCTTATTTATTTATTTATTTATCAAGGCGTATGTTTATGTCCTTACAGGTAATTGTTGTTATTCATTATGTCTCATTATCATGCATATTTCCATTGATCGTTTATGTATTTCGGATCTGTATTTATGAACTTTGATATAAATATTTCTATTGGTTTGCACCAGAAATTGTTGTCTTATTTATTTATTTATTTATCAAGGCGTATTTTTATGTCCTTACAGGCATAAACAGACCATTTCCTACATTTGAAAAAGGACCATACGACACATATTATTTCATAAATAACTGGTGGTCACTAAATGCAAGTTCAAAATGTTGTTAATAAATTCAGGTAAATATTTTGTGTATTAATGATTTATTTAGGAAAGGTACATTCTTAGAATATTCCTAATGAAATACGGACTGATTTATTGATAATTAGATTTGTTATATTTGAAGATATATGTCTGGTATCATATAGTTAATGATGGTAAGGAATGCTTAATATGTATGTTTAAATCAGGGTTCGATGCTATGCTATCCAATACGCGTGCAAAGCAACGTGTGTGTGTTGATATGTGTTTAACAGTTGAATTCGTGGAATGTTTTGTTGTTTTTTCTTTTCACCAAACTATAGATTTTTTATGCTAATGTACCTTACTTAAAAGCATTCTTTATTGGATGAAGGTAGTTTTGTCTTCCTTCGGGTCGTGTGGATAAGCTAGAATATTAAAAATGCTCAATTATATGTATGTTTTCAGATATTAAATTTGGTTGCTTGTTATAACTTTTTTCAATATCTTTGATAGTATTTACTTATTGAAGATATATAATAAAACAAAAACACAATAAATGGATTAACATCTCAATTACACTAATAATTATATCCTTATTGCTTGATAAAACAAAATTTGTGAAATATAGTTCAGTTAGTTTCCCTGACAGTAAACTTGTTGCCTACTACAAGTTTTATATACGCAAACGACTGGAATAAAAAGGACTGACACTCGTTTTGGTTTATTGCGCATGTGTTTAAGAGAAGAGATTCCGTCATAGCGTCAAGTTTTAAGATATTTGAAATATTATGTATGTCCTTTAAAATATTGAGATTTACAACAGAATTGGGTTGATAAAATAGTGTGATCAGTGTTGTAAGATGGACATTCTAAGCATATAATTATGTGTCAATATATCACTTCTTTGAACGTTACATTTTAAACACATCTGGATTTTCAAATATGATATACTTGCCCATAATTTTGCAATGAACATACACAAAATTATCTCCTGAGCATTACAGTGTATTCCGTAAATTATAGCATGTTTAAGGCCCAAATATAATCTTCTGAAACGAATACAGACTTCATCTTCAAATTTATTTTCTTTATTCACAAACTGGAAACGATTTAACAGCTTTTTAACTATTATTTTTTCCACATCTATTTAGTAGCAAAACGACCATTTTTTGCAAAGTTTCTAAGTAATCTGTTAAATTATATTTTCTTAGAATTCTAAATATATCTGGTATATATCCTTTCTGAATAGTTAAATTTCCATTATCTAACATCGAAAATTTGTTTGCCAAAGATGTGTTGGCGTTGTGCAAAGTTTTCGAGAAAAATATTTTCTTTTGTCAATATTTGACTCCATTGAGGGCCAACCAAGCATACTTAGAATGCTGTCCGTATAGTTAATTGTCTATGACAAATCTTTTTCTTTCTGATATACATTACGATTTTAAAAGTATAGATTATTCGCGATAATTAACAAAATATGTTTTGTCATCATCAGATATGGCGGACACAGACAATTGGAAGTGCTATTGTGTCAATAAAGAGATAGATCATTGAATAGAGAAACAACAACAACAACAGAACACACATACGCGCGCGCACACAAAACACAAATAAAAAAGAACACGCACACAAAATTTAAAACAAAAATAATAAAAAATGTCAGGTAGATGGCAATTTAACGATTAATTTAATGAATTTGTCTCAGATGAACCATTTATGAATTCTACTCCTTCACCATTTTCCAAAATATTTTCTATAGAGTCCAATGAAGCAGAGAATTCATCATTGAAGAAAGTTTAATTACTGGGTGATGACGAACCTTTTGATCCTTTTTATTTACCTCCACCTACACCCACACGCACACGCACACGCACACGCGCACGCGCACAGAAGCGTATAAGACAGCTCATTGTGGAGGAGTCAGTTGATCCGTTGCTCATCTTTGCACATTCAAAATAATCGGGGTCGCCCATGAAACAGACATCGGTTGTATTCAGTCACTACCTCCTAAGAACACAATTACTCTCCATAGAGGGGGAGCATATATCAACAATTAAAAAAGACAGTAAATGCACTAAAGGAAACAATGACTAAATAAGGAATGAAACCACGATGTTCCTTTAGCTAAAGGTCACGCATCATCATGAAGACATGGACTGGTATCACTAACTGCCTTATACAACAATCAATTTTAAACCTATGACTATCAAAAGAATATTAGTAGAATATGTTTGCAATGATAGATACATGATCTACTCAACAGAAAATAATGGATCAAATTCTCTGACGTTTTGAAAATATATATCTTTATAAACTAAGTATAAGTCTTAGAGTATATAGTCTGTCTTATGTAAGTGTTTATGGTTTGGTCAGACTACATTGTAGACATCACAAATTAATAAACTGGTCTTGTGATAGCATTGACAAGCTGCAGTTGCTGCTAACACATTAAGGGCTTTCTTGTAATAATTAAAATCTCGGAAAGCAGAATGTATTTTTGCAAAGCAAATTTTATTTAGCAACAATAATGAAACAGATACACCATACATCATTTATGTATATTCATATATTTATGAAACCGGAGATACATTTATCATTTGTTCATAAAATACCCCTAACACATTGACAGCATCGTTATTTAAAGTTATAAAATTGCTTTCAAGACTCATAAAGAAATGTTTTAAAATACATGATGTAGAATTTAAACTTATAAAACCTTAACACTGTAAAAACTAATACATAAAGAAGCGTGGTTGTGACATATTCAATCAATGTCACCGGTCAATATACAGACAGGAGGGCCAAGATGGCCCTAAATCGCTCACCTGACCCATCAAACTCATCAGAACAATAACCTAGACAAGCATTCTGACCAAGTTTCATGACAGGTGAGTCATAACCACTAGAGTGTTACCAAGGATTATCGATATTTGAGCAGTGTGACCAAGTTTTTGACCCCAGGTGACCCATATCCAAACTTGACCTAGAAATTATCAAAACAAACTTTCAGACCAATTTCCAGGATATTTGGATCAAAACAGTAGCCACTAGTGTTAACAACATATTTTTATTTTAAGCTCCTGTGACCTAGTTTTTCATCCGAGATGACCCATGTTCGTACTCATTTGAGCAATTACCTAGACAAGCATTCTGACCAAGTTTGATGATAATTCAGTCAAAAATGTGACCAATAGAGGATTAACAAGGTTTTTCTATTTTTGTTAGCTCCTGTGACCTAGTTTTTCATCCGAGATGACCCATGTTCGTACTCATTTGGGCAATTGCCTAGACAAGCATTCTGACAAAGTTTGATGATAATTGAGGCAAAAATGTGACCGCTAGAGTGTTTACAAGGTTTTTCTGTTTTTAGCTCCTGTGACCTAGTTTTCCATTCGAGATGACCCATGTTCGACCTCATCTGAGCAATTACCTAGACAAGCATCCTGACAAAGATTGATGATGATTGTATCAAAAATGTGACCGCTAGAGTGTTAACAAGGTTTTTCTATTTTAATAGAGTGAAATAAGAATCCCCAAAGAAAGCCCAACACGTCAAAATTGAAAATGTTGCAGGCTCGGTTTGATTGAGCCTGTTCATGGACGGTACTGTCAAGTGCAAACTACCGACCACGCCCCCTAGCACCGGCTTAAGCAGAATTCAACATTTAACATGAACTGGTAAAATTTTGAATTTTGAAACATCCGCAGATGTGTTCATATGGCGGTTATCATGGAACCTTCAATGTGACACTAAATGCCATTCCATGAAAAGCGCCATATGGTCCCCCAAGTAAAACAATGCGTGTGCCCTAAACGAGAAAACAATGGGCGGAACAAAATAAAATGGAATTTTGAGTGGGGATCAGAGGTTATGAAGCCTGCATATCACAGATATAACGTCAAAAGACAAATTTAAAAAGCAGGCCTCATATCCTAAGGGTGATTCAACAGTATTCAAGTGAGGAATACTGGAACCACCCAACAAGAAAGATGCCGAATAGATAGAACTAAAATACCACAAGCACAACATTAATGTCGTGCTGAACGATCTTTAAGGATCGGAAATATAACATCCCTGATTGAATGTACGGGGCGACTTTTAACAACCTCCACACGGCACAAACAACGCTGATGTTGCGATAAAATAGAGTGAAATAAGAATCCCCAAAGAAAGCCCAACACGTCAAAATTGAAAATGTTGCAGGCTCGGTTTGATTGAGCCTGTTCATGGACGGTACTGTCAAGTGTAAGCTACCGACCACGCCCCCTAGCACCGGCTTAAGCAGAATTCAACATTTAACATGAACTGGTAAAATTTTGAATTTTGAAACATCCGCAGATGTGTTCATATGGCGGTTATCATGGAACCTTCAATGTGACACTAAATGCCATTCCATGAAAAGCGGCATATGGTCCCCCAAGTTAAAAAATGCGTGTGCCCTAAACGAGAAAACAATGGGCGGAACAAAATAAAATGGAATTTTGAGTGGGGATCAGAGGTTATGAAGCCTGCACATCACAGATATAACGTCAAAAGACAAATTTAAAAAGCAGGCCTCATATCCTTAACTCTTGTGACCTAGTTTTTCATCCGAGATGACCCATGTTCGACTTCATCCGAGCTATTACCAAGATAAGCATCCTGACAAAAATGTGACCGCTAGAGAGCTAACGAACAAATGTAGATGGACATTCAACGATCCTAAAAGCTCACACTGAGCTAGCTCAGGTGAGCTAAAAAATCATAAACAGCTGTAGTTTTACCACAGAAAAACAAGAAAATCACAAATAAAAGAAAAAAATGCAGGTTTTGTTTGATTGTCACAAGGACTTTCAAAATAACTCTCATTTTATAACTGGTTACCAATTAAAAAACTGATTTTTATATTAAGCATAAAATGGAAATGTGTGCAATATATTTCAATGTTTAAATGTAAACGATTTGAAAAATGATGAAGATTTGGACTATTTTAACAAAGAAAATGTTCATGAATCTATAACATAAATTCAAAATTTTCTAATATATACACTCGTACACAAACTTTACCATTCATATAGTATTTTATAACTTTTCAAATGTTGTGTTTGTATTTTAAGGTGTTTGCTAATTTTGGTGTTACAGACTAACAAACATATGTTTTTCTTCATCTTATTGACGATGAATTCAATTTGAAAAGAAAGCATTATCTGCATTCAGCTCACAAATGTGACATAACTGTATAAAGTACAATTGAATTTAGTCAGTTTTATAACAAATATAAACCACCATTGTATGATATATATGAAAAGTAAAAACAATATTAATGATTAACAGAAACACTTGTCATTTTTAATATATAAAGACAATTACTAAAGTGGGTCGAATCTATACGTCTAAAGTAATCGCACTCTTGTCATGATATGTTAAAAATCAGATGATCTGTTACTTGATAGTTCGTAATATCAATACAGACGACTGGTTGTATGGTACAAATACAATACATTGCTATGTTTGATACTCTCCTCAGTCTAACAGCATTTGTGGTATTTTACGTAATTTTATTGTTTGTTAGTGTTGGAGTAGTTTTCATTTTTCTCTTTTGCTTTTGTATTTTTAAGGCGGGTTTGTTGAAGAGGTCTTTGATTTTCTGTATCATGTATGCAATAAGATCGTGATCCGGACCAGTGCGATTTTGTTGAACCACTTCGTCGATGCTTGCTCCAATAATGGCGAGGAAAATGGTTAGGAAGAAATAAACGACAATCAAAACGTATAGTATGAAGAAAACCTTCGCCAACACAGGGTTTGTTTCATTTATTTCTGAGAATCGACTTTTTCCAATCATTGCAATAAATAGTGTTCCCATACACTGGTATAAATTTCTGTAAGATTCAAGTTGCGAACCAAAGAGTAATAATCCCAACCCACAAAACCCTAAAAATATCTGAACAAATGATAAGCCATACCAAAACAGATCTTTGCCACATTTTCTGAAGATATCCACGATTGCTTTCAAATGTTTAAGTGTAGACAGTACCTCGAGCATCCTTATTGTTGCTATAAATGCTAACACTCCTAGAGATAGCACAAAAGCTTGATCCCAAACCATAATATGACTAAAGTTTACAAAAATTTTATTATCCTTTTTGAACCTCTCGATTGTTTCTAATGAAAATCGTAGACGAAAACAATAAAAAACTACAGCCGTTGCAGCAACATTGAAGAGGACAAAGTCGAAAACTGGCCAAAACTTTTTGAAATATTCAAATCGTAGTCTGTATATCCTGAAACACATTCGGATGAAGAAACATGTGATATAAAACACAAACAATATTTCGCATACTAGAGTCCACGTTCCAGTCGCCCCATGGTGTGGATAAACACGTAATGGGTACGTGTTGTACGTTGTGAATGCACCGCCTGTTTGAGGAAACTCTGTCATAAACATATTGTAAACAAACAAGTTTGTAGAAGCGTCGTAAAGTGTAAATTCTACTATTACAGCACGAGTCTGACGATCAATCCATAGATTTTTATACAGTTCGTTGATAATGCCGATAGAATAATTGAGATTAACATGAAGTGATGCTATATACCCTCCGCCACCGTATGTTGTGTAGTATCCTGTCAAAGGTACTCCCCAGATATCTAGAGCTGGAAGAAATGAATCGGGGAAAATGCTTATAAAGATATTCATTAGTCAATCAAGAACTAGTTAATTCCTTGAAATTTTACTTCAGATTAAGTACATTGATTAAAATTCCAATTATCATACATGTGTATCATCGCGTTTTATGCTTGAATTTATAGTATATCCTTGTAAAGTTATGTGAAAGAAGGTTTCCTTAAATTATACATAACTGCCTCCAGTTGAAAACTTATCATTTTGAAATCGGTTTATAATTTCTGATTGATAATCAAAGCATATAAAAAAATTAATTATTTATAACCATATATTCTAGAATGACTTCACAGGTTGATCAGATTATTTTTATGTCCATATACTTAAACCTACACGGTCTGAATTTCCATGCCGAGGATGTCACATTATAAAAACTCTCGGTTAATCTGCATGACGGGTGATTCTTCCATCCAATACAATAGTTATTGTCCTCTTCATTCCATAAACGATATTCACCAAAACAAATTGGCTGGTCAATATATGGTATGTCACAAGTACCTACATGTATTCATAACAATATAACTTATGTCAAATGTGAATGAAATTTAAAATAAATAACTTCAACTATGTTAGGAATTTGGGCAGTATTTCTGTGATATAATAATGAACTTAATCCTACTGCTTCTGCGTTTAACATGAATTGTGAATATTAAGACATCAAAGATTTACCAAAATTATCAAGAGGTATCGATCTAAAGTAGGCATACAAAATAGTTAATAACTGCACATTACGAACAACAGTTTGCTTAATCGCAAAACAATTTTTAATGGCCTACTCTGTATTTCTTTCTCAATTTCATTCTGTTCTTTGCACTTTAATTTATATCTGTAATACCTTGTTTGGTCCGTAGCTGTCGTAGTCTTGGCGGCCCGAGTCTTAGATAATGATCATGTGTGAATTGTCGCTCTGTCCAGTGTAAGACAATGCCGTATTCGTCATGTTCACGGAATAGGTACGGGATCATTGTATCATTTATCCACTTAAACAAATCATTTGGTGATTTTATCTTTAAAAAAATGAAAATAAAAAACAAATTATATGCTACAAATATCTGAAAATATCTAATTCCGGTTCAACCTAATCCTTGAATGATATTATGCGCATTTGTCAAACCTATTAATAATCTTTTGATCTATTAACTTATTAGGTATAAAATCGCAGTTAATTGGGAATTTACTAAATTACTAAAATGCAAAATAATGTTTGTTTTACAAAACGATAACTCATTGAATCGAACTAATAATAGCTTCGTTTTTCTATATATTACGCTAGTTTTAAATACGAGTATGTTTAACCAAATTAAATACACCTGAAGGAATCATTTTATATTTGAATTATTTTTTAAATTAAAATCAATTCAGAATAAGACTTTAATCCAGACGACATTTAAACCTCTTGAAGCGTAAATCGTATAGAATAAGATTAAACAAAAAATATGTACCGAGTGAAACTTCTGGGTATCACTTGGTGTAACAAGTCTGTTGGAAAGGTGCGAATGATGTAGAAACGACCTGACATCTCTGTTGGAATAGCAGATTACTGACACAATGATAATGAAAACAAGGTTCAATTTAATATCCTTCAAAGAGTTCTGAAAGTTTGAATTTTGTCGTTGTTTTTCTTGCGCTTGTTTAAGATTATCTCCCTGAACAGGCATTGAAACATTTCTTGGATTCACTGAAAGTGGAAATAAATATTTTCCATTTAAATTCAAATCATATAAAATGGCTTTCAATGTTTAATTTGTTTTACTATATTGATACTTGTAAATATTAATTTTATGATAACATAAACAAAATAAATAGCTTAAAGTATACATCTAATAAAGTAATTGTTATATCTCTATTTTCCACTTAATTATTTTAAGCATTTTATCCTTTTTATTCATTCTTACAAATACATAACTTACATTTATAAGACTTGAACTCCGTCACAATAGATTTCAGCACAGCCACACTAGATGAAACAGTGTCTGTAGTAAGGTAAACAATTATATAACAATAGCTCGATATATAACAAACTGGCAAGGTATGACCCATACAGTTCAACCACAACAACAAAATAGAAGATTACACGAAATTCAAAACATTTTTGTATGAGTAATATTCATTTAGTCTTTTCATGTATTGAAACAAAGAGCAAAGTTAAACATTTCAATTTTATAAGGTCAAAAAAAATTTATAAATGAACAAATTATATCAAACCTGCATTTACTGTATAAACCTAAATCCAAATTAAACATATTTCAAAAAGAATGTAAACAGTATTAAGTCTATAAAAATTACTCACTTTCTTCCTCACCAAGTCCAAGGCTATGTCTATATTTGGTGACCGTTTTTGTGGCACTAGAGTCCTTTCTCAGAGTTCTCGAACGTAGTATCACAGCAAGAAAGAGGGAAATGCATACGACCTTCAACAAACATTCATATTACATGTTACAATCATGTAAATATTATGGTGAAACATATACCAATCTAAAACAGGTTCAGATGAGCAAATGTCAAAGACTGACTTTGAGGTTGCTTTTGTTGCTGCTACCGAATTTATAAATGATTAGCAATTAAACGTCTATTTTATACAGCAGATAGTACTTATTTTATATTAATATACATCTGAAAATTGTGTAAATAACATTTTTATAATAAGTTTTTTTTTTTTAAGTTTACCGTAAAATTAATAGAAATTAAAGTCTTACATGTACGTTATGCTCGTTTAATTGTTGCAATGATTAATTTTGCTATAATTGTTCAAAATTAATTTGATATCAGATGAATCAAGTCAATATTCTCTAAAGTAATCTGCTTTTTCATTAGTTTTACCACACCAAAGTTTCGCGCAATAACTTAGGAATACAATCATGTAAACTGAATCTTAACAGATCAACTTAATACTGTACGCACTATAAATGGGTCTATTAGTAAAATTGATTCCAGTAAAGACATGGTCAATGTTGTCAGCCACTCCTCAGATTTCTGTTTGCCCCACTCCATACTGTACAACAGAACAAAGAAAGCAGGAGTTATCGTTCCTCCAGCAACAACAAACCAAGCTAGATATATAAATCTGAAACGGAACATAAATACATAAGTATAACAATGAAACGATATTCTAGCAGTTATAACAAGAGCATAATATAAGCATAAGGACATGGACATACTTAATGTAGATGAAAGAATGTCTACATTCTGAACTGGGAAGGACATGGAACATACTTAAAGTAGTTGTGAGAATGTCTACTTTGATAAGAGAGGTTTAAGCATCGTAATGAATTACAGATGATAAAGAGAACTTAAGGAAAAATTACCTGATAATTCATTGAACTTGACGACGAAGAGAATAAAAGGAACAAAAAGATTGCAATGGGCCAGAGAAACAAATATTGAATATAGTATCTCACCCATGTGGCAGCCGTATACTATATTCAGACTGTTCTGTTTCCGTCAAAAGAGATGCTGAGTTTAGGAATTCTTCATGTTGTCGTGTCTCATTTGCCTTCTGTTTATATTTAGAGCCATGACTAGGACAGCAACAGCTGCAGCAGGTTTTTTCAGTTGTTTCCTGGTTTCTCTTTGTTCTTTTAAAAAGTTCGATAAGGAAACATACCGGTATAGTTGAAAACAAGGCACAGAAAACAGATATGTATATCTGAAAATGAACGAAAGGAAAAGGTATTAAATTAAATAACACGTTTTATGTTAAAGTTAAGTTGCAATCTCCGTTTAAATAAAAGTGGCAGGCTTTTTAAATCTTTTTAAGTATGTCGGTGATATAACCCTGCTTTTATGCATCCTAGCAGCAGAAATAAATATTTTAGAGAATCGTATTGCGTCAGAATAAAGTAAGAGTAAGAGTTTGAAAGAAAAGTAATCATTTCATGCATGTTTGCCTGTGATTTTCTACGACATCTAGAATAAATAAAAAAAGAAAAAGATTATTTAAGGGCATTGTAATTATTCGTTGTTGTGTGAATTAGTTTTGGATTAAAGTAATCTATGAACGTTAATATAAATAATATCACATAAGCAACAAAAAGTTACACACTTGTTGAGATGTAAATCGGAATGGTCCTATTTGTAGCAATGCTGGTGTCTGGTAGTTAGGCTCTGGGTTGAAATATAATGCGTTAGCTAACATGTTAAGCATTATAAACACGAGAGCACATGACGCACGCTGAACACGTGTGAAAACACTCATTGTTGGTCGGTAAACTATTGATATAAACATGTGTCCTTCAGAAAGTCTATGTCTTAAATTACCAAAGAATCTGGATTCCAGATTTAAAGATTGGTTTGTTGGTACTGGCGATAACTTAGCTTCTAGGCAGGTTTCAAGAGACAGCCAGGTTTCAAAAGGGAAATAGTATCTGAAACACACAAGGCAAGACAATACATTTTTGAATGACTTTATGGTCTTATTCTTAGATATGTGAACAAACATCTACATGGCAGAGCGGCATTCATGCCTATTGTCTTTAAAACGGTTATCCTAGTAAGAAATTATTACAATTTTTTGTCAAACAAGATATCAATGGGAGAAAGTTAAAATACTCTAAGAACTTCCTGTAAGTCGCACAACAAAGTTTCAAGGAAAATGGTGCATTCTCGTAACACATGGAACAACAAGCGTAATGTGGAGCTGTAAGTTGCACTGTCTACTTCCTAGACAAAGCTTCCACCATAATTAACTGCTCACAACTGTTAAGCTTAAGCAAAGTAAGAAAAGTGCGGCTCGTTGTTTGAAAGTACAGTTTAAAGATAAATATCGTTATGCAACGATTACTTGATTAGTTAACGTGAAAGGATAGTAATGAAACGATTGTAGACAACTTAGATTCAAACCCCCTGAGAATCAGGCCATTGTCTCCTTAAGCAACAGAAAATATATATCATTGCTTATTACTCGTTGGTTTAAGGAACTGACTTGTGGGTGCCTAAAATTCATTGGCTCAATACATATCCGATCATTCCGTATTACATGTATTAACTAAATTACTTTTAATTGGTAATACACATCGTCGTCATCTTCGCCAAAACTATTAAATTTTATTTGTTTCGTATATTGATACATCAAAACCAATAAAGATTTGGAAGAAACACAATGACTATAGAATTGAGGTTAACTTACGTTTTATGCCGTTGCAAGTCATATACATCGACTCGACTTAGGTACCATGATGCAAATCTGCCCTCACCACTATTGTCATGCCATATATGAAGACTCTGCAAATCACCTAGATCTTCATATGTCGACATAATGAACGACATTCCACTGCCAGTGCTAAACTCCTACAATAATTAAAATATTTAAAAATCAAGTAAAGGTATAAGCACAAACTCAACACTTGCAAAGTCGTTAAGTTCGTTTGATGAATGAATTTAAGTTTAATCATTTTGTTTTATCATTTTTTTTCTCAATTTTTTTTAATGTGATACAAATCATTATATTTAATAGATCATAATAATGACTGACTATTTAACAAGATGATAATAATAACGAAGACGAAATGGTTTCGTTTGTGTAAGTGTATACATAACTAAAGGTAAACTTATATCTTTATAGAAAGGTCATTTTTACACTAACCTCTCGTATACCATCAAATAACTCTCGCTGACCGGATATGTCATATTCACCGCTCAAATGGAAAGCAACACGAGACCTGGTACCTGCTCCTCTGCGCATGCCCGTAAAAACTCTTATCAAATAAAAGTATTCATCAGTGATGTAATTGTCGCGTAGTGGTGTTATGACCCACTGGAACCATTAGAAATAAAAAAAATAAACGGTAAAGTATTTGTTAACATAATACTTTACTTTTGCATTTGAATGCCTTTATCTAAAGTTATTCTCAAGAATTATAGTAATTACTGTCATTTGATGTAATTTTGCAGATTGACAAACAATTCATCACCAAGAATAATTCGCATAAAAGACATTTAATATAAGGAAAAAATATCTTAACTACGGCAAAAACAAAGCCTTCAATTAAACATATTACAGTAGGAGCCATCTTTTCTAACACTTCAGGTTTGTTATGTAAACATTCATAACCTACTCTTGACATTATTATGTCATTCTTTAATATTATCATTATTTACGGTTGTGGCACATTTGAGAACATGTTTATATCCTTACAAAATCGATCGTGTGGAATTATATCTGTCCAGATTGGTTATCTATCCATGTATAAACCTATGCTGACCTATGAAATATTTACTGTAACCTCGTAATGATGCATCCAACAGTACTAGAAACAGTGAGCGGAGCTGTTTAATCATTTCAAGTATATGTCATGACAGTTTAACAACAAACAACAAAAATGTTTTAACAAAGGTAAAAGAGAACCTTTAATTTATCCTTCTTGTCAAGTCGAGCGAAGATAATCACTGAAATTATATAGACGCTGAAGATTCCAGCAAGGGTGCCGATAACAGCAGCTTGGTTTAGCGGAGAAAACTTCAGAAAAACGTTTGAAAAATCAATAGCGTTTGGAGCAACAAAGAAAGAATTTCCAAAGACCATATCGGTCACTCCTTGGCAAAGGCAAACAATATTTTCTTCTTCTCGATGCCAATCAATCAGCTGAAGTAAACGAAGGGTAAAATAACAAGATAAGCATATTAAGAACGTTATGTCTATCTTTATAAATATATAAACTCCAGTGAAATCGATGCAAATTATGAATTCCTTTTAATATAATCTCGTATAAACTCTCTTGATGACATGCATAATCCGATTATTATTAAGATATTGGTACATTAATATGTTCTGTATTTAAGTTTTATCTGCAAAAATAAGTTATTGGGAACTTGTACAATCTCCATTTCTTACAGAACATTTTTGTCGTTGTTGTTGATTTAAAAAAAAATTTTTAATTACAAAATTCTATGCAAATATGTCCCCTAAATAGTTCACCAAGCAAAGGTTCAAATATCAACATTTTTATCTTTCATTCTTTTACATTGAGCGACTTGTTATCTTTGTTTTGACATCTCTGTATTCAGCGTTTATTCAGATATTTTACAAATATTGGCATTCATAACAATTAACTATCCAATGTTTATAATATGACTTTATCATAATATCCATTATTACATATACAAGAATATTTCTACTTTAAAAAAAATATTGCTATGCAAAAGACATGTTTTTGTACCTGACACTTTTTTGCATTCCATTGTGATTTTTCCTCTTCCCATGTTAGGCATCCCATAGTTACTATTGTAATTTTATAGTCAAATCTTTCGTCTGAAAAGTAATTAGTATGTTCAATATGTTCATATGGATCATTATAATATGCATTACATATACATACTTAAAAATAATCTTTGCGCTTTTTGTTGCCAACGAATGCTATGTGAAGGATTTTACTTTAAATGTTATCTTTTTTTCTATTTCGAGGTTATAACGTTTTTAAAAAAAAATTAAATTATAATAATAAAATTTTGGAAAATCTACGGATAAATTAATGTCGAGCCCTAAAATAATTAACGCACCGAATAACTACAATTATCTCCCCTTTTCCGATGCTGAACTGTAAAGTATGTATCGATGTGTTTTATATACAAAATTAACACGCTAAATGTCCTATTGATTACATAATTTTCTGCTTTATAGTGCGTTCTTTCATTACATAGGAACTATCAACTTGGTGGAAGATAAAGATTTATCAAGTATTCCTTGCGTATTTTTCGGAATCGTAACAATAGTATACATGAAATATAACAATTATAAAACAAATTGGCCGCTGTGATGAGAATGTGACTTTTTTAATTGCGTAATACGTCACGTAATATACGACCTCTGGTGATCCCAATCATGTTTGATGTAAGTAGCTATACTTATAATTGTAAAACAACAACCTTTGGTCCGACCATCCCCAAAGGTTTTTGAAATAATAATGTATTTATGTTTGTATCCAAATGGAATATAGGAATCATCTCTAAAACCTTCACAACCTTCAAAACCTTCACAAGCTTTCTGTTTCAATTAGGTCATTCAAATGAATTATTACGAATAATTTCCGGTATAAAACATTTAATACAAACTCATATAAACCTTTTGTTAAACAAATTTTAAGTCATTATTGTATACAAAATTATTTTTCGTCACAAATTTTAACAAAACCTTAAATTATATATCACTTTATTATTTCATTACAGTCAGTACTGAACGTTTTTTGTGTACATAGTAGGTAACTACATTCCATTGAAACGCTTTAGAAATAATAATTTAAAGAAATGTTAGACCAGCACAAAATGAAACGCTCGTACCTTCACCCTGTTCCACTACTTTTCTCTCTGAGCTTTCTGTGTCAAGTTTGGACATATCTGTTACAATACAACAAGTTGCATATAAGCCGCGTCACGACAAAACCAACATAATGCGTTTGAGACCAGCATGGATCCAGACCAGCCTGCGCATCCGCGCAGCCATGCTGTTCGCTTACAAACTCTATAACAAGTAGAAAAACCGAAAGCGAACAGCATGGATCCTGATCAGACTGCGCGGATGCGCAGGCTGGTCAGGATCCATGCTGTTCGCAAACCCATTATGTTGGTTTTGTCATGACGCAGCTCATATATAAATGAATGATACAACGCTTGTTAAATGGTGGCTGATTAACATTTCGCTGTTAAAACAAGTTTCATGTTTGCCTTTTTTTTTCCTATTGTTATTTAGTTTTATTTATTTATTTTTTTTTTCTTGCTATTTTTATTTTCGTATATTAAGTTTTCTTAATTTTACCTTTTTAATTATATTTAAATTTGCTTTTTTGCACAGTCCTGTTTTCACATTTTTTCATGGTTGCTTTTTGGATCTTTGCTCTACGGTTGTGCATTTATATTACAATTGTGCTATATGCCAAAGCAACGAGTAACATAAATAAATGACATCAAAATAGTTTGAATGGTATAAACCGTTGATTTAGATTTTCAACATAATTGTAAATGGTTTAATAAGAATGAAATATATTTAATTTAATAATATTTTCATAGTTATTATAAGACACTTACAATCAATAAGAGCATTATATGATTCAACAAAATAGGCACAAATATCATTTTTTTCATAAGGGACGAAGTTCATATTGCATGAAATTAGTTTTAGAGATATTATGAAAATCTATACATTTCTTTATTTCTATATACATTGTTTTACAGTTTCATATTTTGACACTTCGTTCTTCTTAAGTAATTCCGCTTTAATTTTTGCTTAAACACGTCTTTTTAAACTATAGCAAATACTTGCAATAATAATTGGCAATGAATATAAATGTATTTTTACTAAGCGACGAAATGCATATAATTATAATCCAATCAAATCGTAAGATATTGAAAGTTACAATATAAGTAGACATTGGTACTCACCGATTCCTTCAAAACTAACTGCCAAAAAGGTAACACCAGTGTGTTCTTTCATGCGATGTGGATCAATACACGTTTGCCAGTGATTGTCCCCAAACACACTAAATTTGAGATCATAATCAATTATCGATGGCGGTTCGCTGAATTTTATATAAATAAGGTAGCTTTTTAGATCCTGATTTCCGAGAGGTTGAACAACGACACAAACACTGTCAGTACTTTTTTGATACAGGAATCTATGGTACATAAATTGAGAGGCGTCTTCCTGGTCCACATGGGGTGTGATATGTATTGGTTTTGGAGTAATGACTCTTTGTTCAAAAGTTATATGTTTAGCTGATACGCGTTGCTCAGCTGTTTTTACGTCTAATCGTAGCACACTTGAGGTTATAAGGCTTGATGTTCCGTCATTATCATACATGTACACATTGTCCTTGAACTCGATTGCCTAAAAACAGATATCATTTGAATGATAGTATGTGTGTAATATATTGATATGATATTACACAGAGCATTGAATTATAATTCAGACATTATAATTCAATCTCCTTAATTGTGTTATGGATTTGTCTTGCGATAAACACTCGGCACAATTCGTTTCAATTTTTGGACCTCAATACCGAAATTACAAATATTGACCTATTTGACTTTTTTCTAGTAGCAAAGTTAAGTCACTAATAAAGAAGATACAAAACACGTCGTTTTTTTTTTAAATTAATTAACGTACATAGTAAAAGTCCTTAAAAAGCTTATCATAATTAATTGTAACATATTTTTCACAATAAACACATTATAAAGGAAAATAATATTCTCGAGAAACACAAAGATATTTCTTACTGAAACGGATACTTGTGTCTCATCACAGCTTTTATTGTCATGCAAATCAATATCATCCAGTTTGAAGGCGCACGATTTGGTACTGGTCTTTTCTTTCTTGAATTTGCATGCACTTGTTTTCTTCAGCAACTGTTTATCTGTGCCAGAGGCATGGTTATTGCACCCTTGACATTGCTTTATTTTGTCTTGCATATCGTTTGCCAAACTGACCGTTGACTTTGCAGCAAGTTTTGCCTGAAGTACAAGGTCTTGACAAAGGTAAAAGTGTAACTATTGAAAATCGCACAAAAATTAAATTCACACTCGATATGTTGTAGAGTGAGCGAGAGTGATCACGTTCGGAAAGTAAAGGTACCAAATTGTATATTTATTACTGAAATTAAATTAAAAGGGTTATATTTTGTTTTAATTTATACACAAAGACAACAGACAAAATGAATGATTTATTGGAATTAATTTTTTAGGTTAATTAAAAAAAATAACATTCGACTTCATTCGAACATGTATATCAATTTTATTTGTTGTTTCTGTTCAAAGATCATATAAACGGACAACATTCGCTTCTATTTCTGTAAAAGTATAAAATGTTAAATAGTACATTACATTCTCTTTCACTTCATCTATAAACAAATAAAGTTGACGCTGAATTTTCAAGTAAAGAAATGCTCTTTCTTGAGGTGATAAGGTCGCTGTATAGATATTTATATCATGTCCAACAACAGACAGCATGTCGTCAATCTGAAAGAAGAACGAGTATTTCAAATTGTCATCTACTCGACTTTTCATTTTAGACCGAGAGCTGGATTGAGGTCATTTTGGTGATTGGAAGCCATACTGTGTCGAAAACGTGACAAAAACGTACCTTATACACAACTAAATTATCGTGGTTCGTCATTGCATTTATCGACATAAAGAGATCGTATAGTAGTCATACGATAACAATTAAGTGAGTTCTGGAATGTGTTTATATATTGTTTTTTTCAAATAGTTTGTCTATTATTGTTTTTTGTTTGTTTTTCTTCTTTTTTCGAAGATTTTGCTTGAGTATAAAAGGAAGAAGACAGTGTGAAAGAAATGGTAGTTTTCTTTCGTTTCGATGGTACGTGCTCGTCGGTTGGAGGTCCATCTTCAGATGATTTTGGCTTAAGATTTGGCAAGTTTCTGCGTTCGTTTGAACTATAAACTATCAATTGCCGTTTACTTCATAATACATAATTGTTTGGTAGTTTTCATGAGGTGTATATATATATATAAAGCTATGTGATTCCTCCTTTACGATTAATGCCATACGTATGCTTTATATTAAAAAGTGTAATATAATAAGTGTATCCAAATAAGAATCTCACACAGATTCAGATTTACACATACAGTTTCAACACAATCATAAGATAAAACACAATGATATGTTCAAAATATTTCTTTAAGATACAAATGTATCAAATCAATTGTGGTTGAACATTCGGAAAATGTACATGACATTCCAACTGAACAGACATGCCTTAAAGCTTGAATATCTTTATAAGTTTTATTTAATCTTTTGTTCTTTTAATTTCAATTGAAACTGTTAGTTTTTATTGTTGGTACAGACATTTTTAAACGTCACAACATTTTATAAAAACGTTTTACAAATCAGTGTGACAAAAGTGAATAAGAAAATTGCGCGAGTAAATTTTCAGTTGAATGCTAAAGACTAATGCAAAATGACTATATATTTTTATTTTTAACATTTTGGTAGCTAAAGATTTGGCTACACAAATTTTGGTGATCGTTTTTCTGCGTTCGAGTCGACAATAACAATGATATACACCTTGATATATGAAATGTATATACATGGTTAATTTAAAATATATCATACCTGGCGCATCGCACTGTATATATCATCTGTTGACCGGTATTGGTCAAGGGAACTGGATACGCTAGCGCCAGATACGGTCATTGACATTCGAAATGTCTCTGAAACAATTATTTGAAATTGCACTGACAATGTTTTTAAAAGTCACTATAATGTAAATATAACATAGTTTCCGTGGTTGCATCTAGAGGTGTGTAATAATCAGCAACATATACAATTATCTATGGCAGTTACTCTTGTGCGATAATAGTACCAAGCGCCGTTCATTACTTACAAGATTTTTTTATACGACAACATTCGAGAACTTTCACGGTATAAATGATAACCAAGATTTCTATCCGTGAATTAATACATTTTACATATATAGACGTACCAAATGTGGTATGATCATGAATCTGTTTAATTTCATATATCCACATTCCGAATGTAACGAATTTTACATTTCGAACAAGACTTGGGCATTCACGTTATCGGCTATATGTCGTAGGTGCCTAAATTCTGATACCCTGGCACATGCGTTCCGGCTGTTAGTATCTGAATAGAACTTTGAATTGTACACAAAGCCGTTTACAAACTTTACAGAATTATAAATGCCAGCAACAGCTTTCACCAAGGTAAAATAATTATATTTGACAGCTTTATTGTGCTTTGTTTATTAGTATGATATAATATCTCCAGACCTTTTATTCAAATAAAATATATAGCTTTGGCGTAAAGAGAAATGCCTTATACCAGTCCCCATGGTATTATTAAAATAAGGATTGTATCATAAAGTTCCATAAACAATACAACAATAATTATATACTTTACATGAACCAAATTAAATAAGGAGATAGTATTCTCATTCATTAATAACCATGTTGATCTACAGCTTTAACTTGCATATTGTCACAGATAGCTAAATAATTATTGATATAGCTCTTCTTCGGCATATTTCACAGTATTTAGATGTGAACATCTCAAACCCCTTTCAGACATGATATGGATTTTTCCGAATATGTACGAAGAGAAATTTTAATAGATTGTGTACTTTTATTTCAGGATTTGCGTTCTATTTCTTCCCTTGTAGGTTCAAACTTTAATAATACTCCACGTGTGTTCGAGAAGAACTTGCGTTCTTGATATTGATGCGTGCCTGAGAAGCAAATTACGACCGCTCACTTTAATGACTAAATGTGCTTGTCGGATAGGGTATTATACTACGATAATAATGTACAACACGTTGTGTCTGGTTTATACGTCTATTCAAAACTACTAACGTTTATATTACAAAACATAGAAAGTGACGTACTCTAACGTCACGCATACGTCATTTAACGGCACATACATATGAGCGCAATTCCCGTCAGTGCTAATTGTATATTTAAACCATTTTTTGGGGGAAATACATTATTTAAAATGTTGTAATGATTTATAATCTATCTCGTCTTTTACACCTTACTTTCGCGCTCCCCGCAACCCTACCGCAATCTCGGCCTTGAAAGATTTTTAAGAATGAATATGTGTATTCAAAATATCGTATGAAAGAGACATTATATACATTTATTGATCTATTTTTATTACATCACAGGCATTTTGTTTAATCGAAATCTTAATATGTACCTTAAAGGACTACTTACAATATAAATGTATAAAATGTCGGTCCTATAATGGAATTAAAACTTAGGTGATTTAATGTTAAACAAGGCAGTCTAAAGGACAGCTAAATCCCCTTCCGCAGTAATGAATATGTACTTCTTGACCTTTTACCAGCCACGACCTTGATGTTATGGTGTATGTGTCTTAATGGTGATCATTTCTGTTAAGTTATCATAAAATATTGCAGCGGTTTAAATGTTATGGACGGACACGAAATGTAGTCTTTCTTACATCTGAGCTGTAAGTGTGACCTTGACCTTGGGTGTAGCAATTCAATTATTGCGCTTTACACATCGTCTCATGATGGTGCCCACTCGTGCTAAGTTATTTAAAAAAACTTTTCAGCGGTTTAAAGTTATTATGCGGACCGGAAATGTATACCTTTTAACACTTGATCTTTAAGTGTGACCTTGACCTTGGGGATGGCAACCCATTTATTGCGCTCTGCACATTGTCTCATAATGGGGATCACTTGTGCCAAGGTATTAAAAAACAGGAGGTTCTACTAATGGTGATCACTAAAAAATTCAGTGGTTAAAAAAATTGGAGAGGACACGAAATGTAGACTTTTTATTATGAAATGAAGACATTTTAACATTTGACCTTTTAGTGTGACCATGACCTTGGGGGTAGCAACCCAATTATCGCGCTCGCGCTCTGCACATTGTCTCATTATGGTGATCACTTGTGCCAAGTTATTTTATAAAAACTATTCAGCAGTTTAAAAGTTATGGAGCGGACACGAAAGTGTTACGGACGGACGAACAAAAGGATGGACGGACGGACGGACTGACAAACAGAGGCAATTCCTATAGTCCCCTTTTCCGCTACGAGGAAGGGGATTAATAAATGCTATTGAAAAGGCATAAGTATACGTTCAGCGACTTCTTCCAGTTCGTCCTCATTGTCAATACCAACATTTCTCGATCCAGTACTTTCTACAAGATTCACTAACCGACCCTGAAATTAAGAGAAAGAAAAGTAAATATATATTTCTTATAATCGTCTTTAAGCGTGATATATACATTTAAATTAGTTATGTTGTATCATATGTATATCTTCTACACAAAATAACAGAAATATAATCTAAAAGAAAAATTGACGAGAAATAACAAAAAATACTGTACTGTAGTTGCTTTGTCAATGAAGTCTGCTTTTGATGCAAGATTTGAATAGGCGTTTGTGACAATTGAAAACACTATTCTGTAGGTAACGTTCTCTGGGTGTTCGTTAAGGTTCGTAGAAATTTGTGTCACAGTGTCTGTCATGCTTTTGAGGAACTGTTAATTGAATATAATTTTTCTTAGAAAAGACATCTTCAAAATATATTACATCATTACTACTTTATTCAATAGCAATATCACATTGTTATATAATGATTAAAGATTAAAAGGAAATTAAAGTTTTAAGTTAATTTATATCGATAGGTTAAGACAGTTTACAGTAATAAAACCCAAGGTAAAAAAATCACAACGCCGATAACCAAAATAAAACGTAATAGACATAAGAAAAAGTTACCAAAATAAAACGTAATAGACATAAGAAAAAGTTATCAAATTGTTTTGTAAAATTAGTTTCTGCTAGACGACTAGTTAATTCATCAGACAATGTTAGGAACCAGCATTACAATGCCTGTATGATAATGAAAGAATTCGAAATAACTCATTCAATCGATAACAGAGTTATGTTTCAAGGTGGTACAGTAACTTTCACAATAAGGTCTAAATTCAGGAAAGTTTCATATATTTAAACAAGTCTTTGATGATGATTTTGGGAGAAAGAACTTTCCTCAAAATGTGTCTTATATTGCAATTAAGCACTTGTACAATGCTGCAAATGTATGTAACAATTGTAGGCTTTTACAGACTGTTGCACTTCTATCGCTGCTTTCTTTTTGCAAAAAAGGGACCTGAGATATAATTAATTTACACTTATATTATAGTGATGAACTATATAATGATGAAAGCCACAAAATGATAGAACATTATCATTATTTTTTGACTTCTGGGCTCTCATTATTGAGCTAAGCCAGTAGATGTAGGATCTATGAGAATCGATAAACACAAAGAATAAAATGGCATTAAATTATAAAGCAGAAGCATAAAAATCTTCGCCTGCTAATTCATAAAATAGAAACCTGGTGATCAGCACAATTTAGCAGACAAATAATGAAATTTGTGCATATATATGCGAATATGTATGTAATAAATGTAATGCAGATTTCAAACGAAAATCTAAAATTTGTTCAACTCATATATGATGATTAGAATAATTTAAAATTGTCATATTTTTAGCTCACCTGAGCAATGCTCAGGGTGAGCTATTGTGATCGCCCTGTGTCCGTCGTCCGTCGTCGTGCGTCGTGCGTCGTGCGTCGTCAACTTTTCACATAAACTACATCTCCTCTGAAACCAATGACTGCACATCAACCAAACTTTACAGAAATGATCCTTGGGTGGTCCCCTTTCAAAGTTGTTCAAATGGTTCCGGTCTGTTGCATATGTAGGTCACAGGGCCAGAAAAGGATTTCAAAAAACACAAAATTAAAAAATCTTCTTGTCTGAAAGTACATGGGCCAGAGCTTTGATTTTTGGTATATGGTATCATCTATGGGTCCTCTACCAAAGTTGTTCAAATTTTGTCCCTAGTGTCAAAATTGGCCCCGCCCCGGGGGGTCATAGGTTTTTCCTTATATGTCTATAGGTAAATCTAAAAAAATCTTCTTCTCTGATTTTGCAAAGGCTACAGATTAGATATTTGGCATGAAACATTGTGTAGTAGACCTCTATCAAGATTGTTCAAATAATGGCCCTAGGGTCAAAATTGGCCCCGCCCTAGGGGGTCATTGATTTTCATTACATACATATAGTGAAAACTTGAAAAATCTTCTGGTCTGAAAGTAAATGGCCTAGAGCTTGGATTTTTGGTATATGGTATCATCTATGGGTCCTCTACCAAAGTTGTTCAAATTTTGTCCCTAGTGTCAAAATTGGCCCCGCCCCGGGGGTCATAGGTTTTTCCTTAATATGTATATAGTAAAATCTAAAAAAATCTTCTTCTCTGATTTGGCAAAGGCTACAGATTAGATATTTGGCATGAAACATTGTGTAGTAGACCTCTATCAAGATTGTTGAAATAACGGCCCTAGGGTCAAAATTGGTCCCGCCCCGGGGGTCATTGATTTTCATTACATACATGTAGTGAAAACTTGAAAATCTTCTGGTCTGAAAGTAAATGGCCTAGAGCTTGATATTTGGTCTATGGTATCATCTGAAGGTCCAATACCAAAGTTGTACAAATTTTGTCCCTAGTGTGTCAAAATTGGCCCCGCCCCGGGGGGTCATAGGTTTCTAATATGTATATAGTAAAACATAAAAAAATCTTCTTCTCTGAATTGGCAAAGGCTACAGGTAAGATATTTGGCATGAAACATTGTGTGGTAGACCTCTACCAAGATTGTTCAAATAAGGCCCTCGGGTCAAAATTGGCCCCGCCCTCGGGGGGTCATTGATTTTCATTATATACATATAGTGAAAACTTGAAAAATCTTATGGTCTGAAAGTAAATGGCCTAGAGCTTTGATATTTGGTCTATGGTATCATCTATAGATCCAAAACCAAAGTTGTTCAAATTTTGTTCCTAGAATTAAAATCGGCCCCGCCCTGGGGGTCATTGATTTTCCCTATATGTATATAGTAAAAACTTAAAAAATCTTCTTTTAAAGAACCCAAAGAGCTAGAGCTATGATATTTAGCATGAAACATCTTCTAATGGGTGTCTACAAAGTTTGTTCAAATAAAAGCCCTGGGGTCAAAATTGGCCCCGCCCCAGGGGGTCATTGATTTTCCCTATATGCATATAGTAAAAAACTTAAAAAAATTTCTTTGAAAGAACCCAAAGAGCTAGAGCTAAGATATTTAGCATGAAACATGTTCTAATGGATGTCTACCATGTTCGTTCAAATAAGAGCCCTGGGGTCAAAACTGGCCCCGCCCCGAGGGTCATTCAATTAGCTCGACTTTTTTTTTTTAGATATATACATATTATATATATACATACATATATATATATATATATACATATTATATATATATATATACATATGTAATTATATATATATATATTATATATATACATACATACATATATATATATATATATATATATATATATGTATTGCATTTTTTGGTGTGTGTGTGTATATATGAAATATATATATATATATATATATATATATATATATATATATATATATATATATATATAAGATATATATATACAATATATATATATATATATATATATATATATAAGATATATATATATATATATAAATATGTATATATATATATATATATATATATATATATATATATATATATATATATATATATATATACATACACACACACACACACACACATATATATACATATATATATATAATATATACATAATATGTATACATATATATTTATATATATATATATATAGATTATATATATATATATATATACATAAAAAATCTTCTTTTAGAAAACCCAATAAGCTAGACCTTAGATGTTTAGCATGAAACATCTTCTAATGGGTGTCAACCAAGTTTGTTCAAATAAAAGCCCTCGGGTTTAAACTGGCCCCGCTCCGGGGGGCCTATATACAGGTGAGCGACTTTGGGCCATCATGGCCCTCTTGTTTGAGCATATAATCAACAGAGAATAGATCTAAACTTTGTTATAGTAAATTATCAAAGAAGAAAATAAATTGACCTCTTGCAATATTAATGTTGTAGGGTCCAGCGTTTTGTTCAGGGTCTCTTTTAGCGTGTCTTGAAAACTCGTAATGGAACTGTTCCCGTATTTTGACAAGTCCAGAATCATACCATTGCCTTTCTCGTTTAAAACATTTTGAACAACAGGCTCTTTTTCATTTAACTGAAATTTAAGACTGAATAACGTACCATGAAATTGATTTGCAAAATAGATAAAACTATATATAACTGTATTTTGTGAACAATTTTAGGCGTCATTCTTTGAAAGTGACTTGAGAAAAGAAAGGTTCATAGCAACGTGTTAATATATATCTTTATATAATAAATCAGGTTTGAATGTATTGCCTTGTAGCTATTGCGAATTCAATTTACAAATATTTAGTTCTAGTAATGGTAATGCAAGTTTGATATTCTACACAAAACACAATCTATGGCGATTGTAAAAAGAACAAAAGCCGGTTGAACCTGTCGATGCTCCCCGATAGGTTTTGGGCACAGGAAAGTATAAAAAAAAATGAACAAAGGGCAAAACTCCAAAATTAGGTAAGGAAGAGTTGTTTGTTTGTTGTTTTTTTTTGCACTGCACTTCTATTAAATGAGATCTATCTATCTATAAAGTTTCGTGATGATATCTCTTATAGTTTCAGAGTAATGTCCCGGGGAAAATGCAAAGTGTAAAAATGAACAAAGGGCAGTAACTCCAAAATTAGACAAGGCTGGGTTTAGGCGCTTTAGCATTGCAGTCAAATGAGATATATCTACCTTCAAAGTTTCATGTTGATATCTCTAATAGTGTTATAGTTATCCGCGGACATGCACTTCTACTCAATAAGATATACACATAACAAATCTTATAAGTGTGCACCTTTTTTATCCTTATAACTTTTTCGTTTATCAATATATTTTTACAAAAATTTGTGTTCTGACTATACACATTTCATGTGCTCAAGCATGTCAATTGAAATTATAAGGTACGTTCAGCCATGAACGAACGGAATTCACACAATGCACGAAAAAATTGTAAGAATGGGTGAAATAATATTGCACATAATATTCTCGGATACGATAGAGATCGACAAATCAGAAAAACACCACATGGGTAGATTATCTATACAAAAGCGTGGCATAGCCCTAAGATTTGTCAACGCTGGAGTACACCAAACAGAGGTTGGTAATATAATTTATTCGTTTAAATAATTATTTTACATCAGTTGCATTGTAAAAGCCGAAAATCATTTAAATTCAGTTTCTATCAAAGACGAACATAAAATGCATGTTTTTATTTAGTAATTACTTGTCTGTATCATTTGTAGGTTGCGTCTGGCATTGGTGTACACCAAACTACCTGAGAAGTCTTATCATTAAGTACAAAGCAACTTCTTTGGTAACCTAGTTTCCTCATAAACCATAAATTTATCTACAACGGTATGTAACATCGATGTTAATTAATAATAATGATAACATGTCTCTTTTTCTGTATTTATTGAAAATTTCAGCATGATCGGGCAAATATTGATACACCTATGAAACCATTTATACATGCACACTTATAAGATTTGTTAAGTGTATATACCTACAGAGGTTCATGTTGATAGCTCTTATTCTTGTAGAGTTATGTCCCGGACAAAGTTCAAAGTGTAAAAATAAACAAAGAGCAATAATTCAAAATTAGGCACGGCAGAAATATTGTTCCTGTGCACTGCAAACCTACTAAATGAGATCTATCTATCTGCAAAGTTTCATGTTGATAACGCTTATTGTTTAAGAGTTATGTCCCGGACACAGTTCAAAATTTAAAAAGAAACAAAGCGCAAAAATTCAAGTATGAGGCAAGGCAGAGTAACGGGTCTTGTGCACTGAACAACTCCGTAAGGAGATCTATCTTTCTACAAAGTTTCACGCTGATACCTCTTATAGTTTTAGAGTTATGTCCCGGACAAAGTTCAAAGTGTAAAAATTAACAAAGGGCAATAATTCAAAAATTAGGCAAGACAGGTTCTTGTGCACTGCACACCTAGTCAATAAGATCTATCTACCTACTAAGTTTCATATTGATACCTCTTGTTTTTTCAAAGTATTTGTCCCTGACAAAAAAAAGTGGCCAGACGGATGGATAGACGGGCGGACGGACAAAGCGGCGACTATATGCTCAACCTTCGGGGAGCATAATAAATTCCATGTTGCAAATATTCATCAATTTGATTATGCTAAGACTTACCTCTATGAGGTATATATTGCTGCATACAGCAGAGATGTAATACATTGTGATAGCAGTTCTATCAAAGATGGACTGCAATTTGTCTAAAACATCGGAATAGTCACCCTTGATATAGTCACGAATCATTTGAGCCCCTGATTCAGTCGTATCTACACCATCTACATCAAGAACTGGTGTTGACTAAAAGCATGATAAGTAAAACTAAATATTGGTATTTAATTTCTCAATTAAAAATTAAGCTTTTTTCTACGTATAAAACGTGTCATTTAATCAATGTATCAATTCAAATTGTGTACAAACACTTACTCGTATTTCAGTGACTAATTGATATAGATTAACAAGTTTTAGGATTTAGGAGCTGTCGCAGATAATTTCCAATAGGACTAGGTCAAATACTATTTGATATACCTGCAACACAAGTGGAAAATTGCAAAGTTTTACTATGTCAATGGCAATAACTCTACAAATACTGTAGCTAAAGAGACTTCAGCAAACAGGTTTTATAGTACTGCTAGACCTGTTCGCTAAAGCCAATCCTGTATCGAAAGTCAACCGGAACTGTGACATATTTATGTCATGCTGTAATTCAATCAATTTGCGTTATCTGGACAAAGGCTATTTATATACTGGTAGTTAGATATAATTTGTACTCTTCAGTCTATATTTTTGAACAAAAAGGTTAAATTGATAAAATAATGCCTCAAGGTTTATCAGTGCGTTTACTTTTAATAACATTCGCCTAAATGCTGCCGTAAAAGTCACGTGACTTGCAAGAAGTTAGGTTCGTATACCTTTGCATGACCTGTGACCCAATTGAAAAAATGGCTTTGCAATTATAAATAACGGTGTATTTATTCAATAACAGACGTTGTACCAAAACCATGTTGAATTCATATTGTTTTGAGTGATGATTCATGAATTATTTCATAAATATTATATTTATTTAAAATGGTACAGTACTTAAAATAGTGTATGGTCCGTTACTAAAAATAGATGTTAGAATTCCCAAAGCTTGAAGTCCCACGAGATTTCATTTGAAAGCAGACTCAATATTGGTAAACAATTTCTACATATTTCCCTAACAAATAGTTGGGTACACGATGTCATTAAAAACTCTCAGTGCCCAACTTTACAAGCTGATCAACTTCTCTTTAAAGATTCATGACTAGGTCAAATATTTTTGATTTACCTGCAACACAAGTGGAAAATTGCTAGGTTTTACTATGTCAATGGCAATAACAAATACTGCAAGAATCCCCAGATGCACATGTTCACATACTGACCAACGTTTCTATAAAGTCGCATGACTCTAGGTCAAACCTTTTTTGACTTATTCGCGGCACAAGCTAATAATTTCAAATCAAATCAATGGCAATTACTCTTCAAATATTAAATATATCAAAGCAAGTCCCAAGGTGCACAACTACACATGCTGACCAACTTTTTTTGTGAAGTTTCATGAAGCCAGGTCAAATACTTTTTCAGCTTTGCATGATAAAAACTGAAAATTCCCAATTTTTACTAAGTAATGAGCAATAACTTTGACAAATCTGAAATTATCCAAATGCTAAACCTCATGTGCACAACTTCACATGCTGATCAACATTATCAACATTCCTGTAAATTCTGTTAGGCTCAAGTTCTTTTAGAGCTACATGCGACACAACAGGAGAACGCACGAACAGGGTAAATCTAAATGCCGTCTCCCCTATAGTGGGGGCACAAAACTAATTACAACGTCATAATTCTGACAAAAATCATTAAACCAGAATATACAAACGATTTGCACAACTAAAATAAGTTTGGATGAAACTGCACCAGTAGTTTTTGGGGAGTAGAGTCCGAACAAGTTTTGTGACAGACGGATGGACAGACGATGGAGAAGTGATCCCTATATTTCGCCGCTTCTCAGTAGCAGGCGACAAAAAAAGTAGAAAACGCTGTTTGTAATAATGTTTTCTTTAAAATGACTTCTCAAATCTTGCTAACCTTATTAATTATTATTCCAATGTGTTAGTAAAACATTATTTTCAAACTCTGCCTTATTGAGATTTCGTAACTGAGGCATTTTATATTTTTGAAACATTTTAAGTTCGAATATATTTGCTTCTAGATGTTTTATTACGCATGAATGCTTTTTTTGTGGTGTGACAAGGGATAGTTTCCCAATTATGAAAAACGATTTTTGCAAACTCAATATGTTTTATTTTGTCCGACGGGCATTGACTTTAACAGACTTCTGCTTTCCTGTTTTACACTTTTACATTGAACAGCTAAATAGTGGATACTGTGACTACTCATAATGCAAAAGGTTTAGAATTATTCTTTTCAAAAGAACAATGAACTCATATTACAAAGGTTCTTAATATGAAGTTAAGATGATTCATACACCTGGATTTTTAAAAACGTAAATATTTAGGGTATTTGAGTTTCTATTACAATTATTGCTTAGTGCATTTAATGTAAAGCATTCTATCTTAAGATGTAAAGATCATCTGAATGTTATGAAATGTTACTTCCTTACCATCTGATAAGACCTTTATAAAGTAATAACTTCATTTTTATGTGCTGTTACTTGTGTGACAGTAAAGTTACAAAAGACACTTCAGTTACGACAGTGACAATAAGAATACATGTTACTTTATGGTTTTATTCATAATAGTTAAGGGATCAGTTAATACTTTCACTGTTTATGATTATATTACAAGAATGACACAGACTCTAGGGACATATTTCAAATTTACAAGACTATTACGAAAATGTTGGAAATGTATGTTTTACATCATAGTTGACTAGCTAATACATAAGACAATGCAAAAAAAGTTGAATTGTCAAAAGCTGTGTAAGTTCTTTTCACAAATGATGTTATGTGTGCATAGGTACAGCACATATTGGCTCTAAAGGCATCTGATATAATTTTGAAGGGTTTTTATAACCGTCAAAAACAGGAGACTGTTAAACTTACGATAATTCAACTTTATTTTTCGTGTCCATTAGCATTTTTTAGTAAAATCTCTTATTATATATTTGTATATAAACTTACAAATGTTTTGACTTAGGACATAAAAAAGCTGCGAAAATATAGAATCACTCAACTAATCAAAGCAGCTAGATTAAGTCTTTACAAATTGCTAACTTACCGAAATGTTTGGAATGGTATATACATTGAAGTTATTGTAAATATCTGCTATACGGACGTTGATTGACGTTTCGTAATTTCTTTCCCAATTTCCAACTTTAAGCACGATTAATACCTCTCGGTCACCTGTTATAACGTTAAAAGCAAAAACTTCAAAAGAATACAAAATGCAAATAAAAATCACTTTTAAAATTTGTAAAATTTGGCAGAAATACATTATGTACAGATTCGGTTTTGTCGACATATTTTTTTAGGGAATGAATCATTGTTATAGAGACTTGACTTTACGGCCGCCACTTGTTTTGCATACTAGTATTAAAGCAGACATTCTTTCGTAAAGCATATTAGCTAACCATACACATTTTACCAATTTATTTGATTAAACATGAGATGTTGATAAACAATAGCACAGGTCAGTTATAGATATTTATAGGATAACCGTGCATTCATTTGATTGACCACACATCAGTTTAAATAACACATTGAACGGAACGAAAGTTTTGTTACTATTCAGGCAGCTTTACTCGGCATTTTCCAAATGGTATTTCAATTATTTTGTTGAAATCTATACGTAAAATTCTTGAGTAAATGGCAAACTGTTTTGCGAGCTAGTCTCCATAGAATCTTGCTAAATTGTTTGTTTACAGTTCAATTCCAAGTCAGAGCTGAAGATTGGTCAACATCAATGTCAGAGACCTACGATTGCAATCTAGAACACATGTGTAATGTTTCAAGTGATTGTTACCAAATGTTGCGTTCAATATTTGCATCCATTAAGACCCGGTCACACCACCCGAACGGAACGGTAGGGAGAGGGAAACGAATTTCCACAACGCCCGTCACCTTGCACAAAATGGAAAAAAAATCAAAAACACGGGCGTTGCCTTGGCGGTGCACCGCTGAAGCCGGCGTTGGTATAGCGTTGTTGCGACGGGAGCGTTTTAGCGTCTGAGGATGAGCCATAACCTTATAAGTCAATGTAGGTGAACCTACAATGGCAAACAGGAACACACTGTACAATCCCTTGTAGTTGTAAATTCTGAGCCAGAGTAACGAGGGGCTTTTCAGGCCACTTGCTAGCCATCAATTGCACCGTGTGGGGAAAGCTCAATCTCTGGTACCATTTGTCAGCCAGGTGTCTCCATCCTTGTTCAGTTGTTGGGCAAAACAAGAGTTCATGTGTGTACTCCTCAATGATGGCCTTTACCACTTCTCTGACTACCACACTGATGGTGTTGTGGGGAACCCTCCAGGCGTATTGCATCTCTCTGTAGGTGTTCCCAGGTGCCGTAGGGATTGCTTGATAATTCGTGTCTCGCTTGATCAATATCGGGGCCAGCCTCTGTACAACTATTAAACATGGCTTGTGGCATTCTCATGAAGTGCTGGAAGGCTTGTAGATCCTCATTCCTAAGCTCTACCATCAGCGTGTCATACAGTCCATGTCCATGCTTTCTCAGTATCCACTGTCTGACTCACACAACTATGCCACTCCTTCTTCTCTTTCTTTTCATTCTGTCAAAAGCTTATTGCAATCTAAGGAGGTTCTTATTCTGCTGCTGGACTAGTGCACCAGTCATTGCAACTCTCTCAGAATACATGGTAGTACAGCATCCATGGTAGTACAGTTTTACTGTAACTTTGAGCAAATTCGATGTAAATCAGGACTGCAGACAACGGCAACTCAATTCCAAATAGACTCCAGATCCATTTCTCCCCGTATTTATAGCCAAATTCTGGTCCCGCTCCGACACCACTACACTATACAAACGCCAAACAAAAGTTCATCACCACAGTCGATCGTTGCTTCAACGCCCGACACCATTCAAGCAATCCCATGTCCGCTCGTAAAACGCTTACAACCGCTCCATCAAAGTTTGTGCAACGTTTAATCACCGCCCGGGCAAGCTGGCGTAGCAGCAGTGGTTCAGCGTTCAAGATGTTTGCGTTGGCTAAGCGGACCAAAGTGTCTACGACCTTACGTCGTCTAGGGGTGCCAAACTTTGACTGGGCGTTGTTGGAGAGATAGTGAACTTTCCCGGAGCGGAAAATTGCCCGCTCCTCACCGCTCGCAATATTTTGTGCAGCTCAAAACTTTCTGAGCGGTAGGAGAGAACATAAGCGGTGACTGAGCGTATATGGCGTTGCCTTAATGGGGACAACTTCTGGTGAACGGTAACGAGCTGTAATGAATTTTTTTCACCGCTCCAGGAACGCTCCAGCAAAGTTGTTGCGGTATGATCGGGCCTTTTATTTAACACCCTACGTCCAAAACTCAGCCAACGCTAAACTGACTCCTGAAAACGTACTTAGGAGATTAAGGCTAAGAATTAAAGCTGGAATTCTAGAAATAATTGTATAATACAACAGGGTGTGGTACAAAGCAATAGTCATGTCGATTTGGCAAAGGTGTTTGATTCTATAAAAAGCAGTGTTTATAACCTAAGTAAATGAAAAGGAATCGTACAAAGTTATAACAGTACTTACCCCGTTGTGTGATTGGCTCCTCTTCAATAAAAGCGCCAACTGTTTCTTGTATAATTGTATATGTAAGAAAAGGGGTTGTATCTATGATGTTGTTCATTGTCAGCCTCTTGCTTCGGATTTTCCATGAATGACATTGAAGTTGAACCATGTCGAATGCAGACACCACTACCAACATAAAATACATATCTAACCCTTAACTTGCTTGCACAACTAAAAGTTATAAGCTACTAAAGTAGAGCCAAATCAAAATATTCGACCGTTGGTAGCTTTTGTATTTTGATATTGAAATCCCTTAAAATGGTGAATCCATATTTTTGGGTGTCTGTCAACTCAGTTAATTTTTCTTGACAGTTCAATATATATTGTGGATTTTACAATATATGTCAGAACAATGTTGAAATAAAAATTACTGTAGCCACGAATAATTACCTTTGTTTTAGATAATTACCTTTATTTTGACAACCATACGAAAACTATGCTTAGAATAAAAAAATATCAATAAAAGTTGTCCCATAAGAAAAAAAAAGAAAAAAACTGACAACTTACCATGGTCTCTATCAATAATGCATGTGCCTCCATAGGGAACATTATCAAATGTTCTTATTACGGCAACAATGCCTGTCAATTTTCTGTCACTTGTAGTGACCTTGACTTCGAAAATGTAAGTAAAACCTTCATCTACGTTCTCTTTTGGAATTGTTATTGATGTCTTATCTGCAATATAGAAAGGATATTTCAGACGATACAGCTTAATTTAACTTAAAAGTTGAAACTACGTCAAAAATCAACATAATTATAAACATTAAGAAATTGTATTATAATTGTCCTAACAAATTGTAAATAATAAAAACTTTAAAAACGGGAAAATACACAAAAATTTTTATGTGTATACATTATAATTGTAAGAACAATTTGATTATTCACACGTTTTATGACTAGTTACTACAAAGATGATAATATTAGTTTAACGAACAAAATCTACCTGTATTATCAATCACATCTTTTACTCGAACAAAAGAGCCATTTTGCCAGTTATATACGTTCCATTCATAAATAAAATAGTTCCCACTGGCGGTCGTCTCTATCTCTGTATCAAGTATCAGCTTGTCAAAATTAATCAAGCCACCATGCAAAGCAAAGCAGTTGTATACGCAGCTAATAAAAGACAAAATATTACAAACGACATAAGAAACGTATTTCCATAAGTAATTGAAGTAATAGTAGAAGCTGAGCAGTCTGACAAATCATAAAATTATATAAACAAGCATTACAGACAACTCAAAACGAAACTAAATTCAAAAAATCAATAAGCTTGCATATAACAGTCACCTACCTTATTGATACAGGTAGAGCGTTTTCAACAAATTTTAAGACTTGAAAGACTCTTGAATGGCTGCTTCCTTTTGACATCGTAAAGACAGCAACACCATAGGAATTGATTGGAAAATAACCTGTCCATACCTTAAGAATATTCACATTTCCCGTTCGTAATTTATATCTTTTACCTACACCTAAAATTTGTCTGTTAATTTGATTATACACTTCCATATCAGAGGTTTCTGTAGAAATAAGTTCAAAAGTCCAATGTGAAACTAACTTTGAATTATTAGTATAATTTAAGCCACGGACGGTATCATGAGATTCAGAAGCATTCACATAAACGATTTTGCCGTGCGGGACGTAAAGAAAGTCACCGCCTGAAATAAACATATACAAATCCGGAAATGTAACTTCAAGTACAATAAAATCATTGAACCAGGAACTCTCTAATACCACTTCTAAGATGGCAACATAAGTGCCTGGTCTAAGCGTGCCACCAGGAAGTACTATATTACCGGAGTGTGGTTGACTGAAGTCCGTAAAGGACATCAGTTTATTCGAAAAAACTTGTATAAATCGCCAATGAAACTCAGCACCTGCACATGTTTTATTTATATCATCATAGCTGTTTATCTAAAATGAAACAAAAATGATATTATCTTGACGGATATTTGAATTGGACAAAATTTAACTTTTTGTTTATCATTTTAGTATTACCCACTTGATATTAAAATTGACAAATCATTCAATAAGCTATTTTGAGAACTTCAAGTGTTCAAACTGGTTCTTTTTGAAGTCATATTGCAAAACGGTAAGTTACGGACAGAAGAAATATATAAATTAAGAAGTATAGATATATATCGGCAACAATGTTATCCAATAACAAAAACAAAGTCTTTGTGAAGCCATTGAAATTTAAAAAAAACACATGCAAGAGAATAAAATGATTTACTTCAACTGTTTTGTCAGCTAAAACTCGTTTTGGATGTGTAAAATCCCGGTACAAATCATCCAAGAAATTGTTTGTATTCATGCAGCATTTCGTTTCCGGACAACGAGTTATTTTTCCATGAGACTCTTTACATTCGGTCTGAATTTCGTATACTCCATACTGCAAACAATATAAAAGTTGATGTCACAAAATACTAAAACTAAACATCTAAAATAAGAAATAACATTAACATAACTGAATGATATAACATTCTATGAACAATGTGTTATAATAAATATTGAGATATTTAGATCTTAATTTAACTTAATATTAATCACTTGAACAGTTTGTGTAAATGAACAGGACAGAACAAACTTAAACATAATAATTATATTACTCTGGATTTGTACAAAATGATGTTTGTCAAAGAATTTAAAGTATTGTTCTATTTGATTTATATGTCGAATGTTATTTCATTTTTAAAGATGATTAAACTTTTTACAAAGTAGAGACCTTGAATTTTTACATTATTAAAAAATTCAATACTTCCGTTTTACCTCATAAAATGAAGAATATGTTAAGAATATAGATTCTTGTCGTAGATCTGAAAATATTCGGTCAACAGATTCTATTTCTCTCTTTTTTACCATCGGCAAAAGATCATTTCTATTACCGTCACATGTTAAGAAATAGGAAAATTATTATCTTGTCACTTTGAACCGACAAATAACTACTGAATGAAACAAGAGCACTGCTAGGCGGAGCATTATATGCCCGAAAGAGATATTTTTAAAAAGGACGAAGCATTTGTAAGACAATGGAATTAAATAATTTTACTACGACGGATGGACAGAATGATGCCAGGGATATAATATAATATAAGTAAATTTTTAGGGCTTACAATTAATGTACTCAAAATAAGTGATCATCCTATGAAGTTTAACAGTTATAAAACTGTTAACAATATTAAGGTAATTTGATATGGACCTTTGACGTTGTGCCTTCAATATAGATATGGATCTTTTATTCAATATAGGTAATCATCTTATGAAGTTTGAACACTGTAAGGCAAATGGAACTTAAGTTATGCTCCGGAAACTGTTTTCAGTTTTAAGGTCATTGTGACCCTGACCTTTGATCTTATGAGCCTAAAATCAATAGGAGTCATGTATTGGACATGGCTGTTCATCCTATAAAATTTTACAGCTGTGGGTTGATTAATACTTAAGTTATTGAGCGAAAACCGTTTTCAGTTTTAGTTTTAATAATGACCTTAACCTTGTGACCCAAAATTAATAAAGGTCTTTTACTCAATATTGACAATCATCCTATGAAGTTTGAACACTGTGGGTCAAATGGAACTTAAGTTATGCTTCAGAAACCACAATTTTCAGTGTAAAGATCATTGTGACCCTGACCTTTGATCTTATGACCCCAAAATCAATTGGGCTCTTTTTCCAAATAAGGACAATCATTCTATGAAGTTTGAATATTGTGGGCTAAATGGAACTAAAGTTATGCTCTGTAAACGGTTTTCAATTTTAAGGTAATAGTGACCTTGACCTTTTACCTTGTGACCCCAAAATCATTAGGGGTCTTCTACCTAATAAGGACAATCATCCTATGAAGTTTGAATACTGTGGGTCAAATGAAACTTATGTTATGCTCCGGAAACTGTTTTCAGTTTTAAGGTAATAGTGATCTTTACCTTTGACCTTGTGACTCCAAAATCATTAGGGGACTTCTTACCAATATAGACAATCATCCTATGAAGTTTGAATATTGTGGGCCGAATGGAACTTAAGTTATGCTCCGGAAACCAAATTGCTAACGGAGAGACGGATGGACGCCAGGGGGTATAACATAATATGCCCGAAATTCTGTCGGGCATATAAAAAAAACCAAAGAGAAGATATGGCTATATATTTGTTTTTATCTGTTGTCTCTTACAACAAATGCAAAGCAACAAAGACCTGTAGATCATTGTATTTGATCCTTAACGAAACTTGCCCGAAGGAATAAAATAAAGTACACATTTAAAAAGTGTTTAAGAACGTTATAGCTCGGGCTTTACACAATAGTCTTAATCTTGTAGAACTCGATGTGTAAAATGTTACTTACATTTAAGTACGTGTGGTTATGTTTTTCGGTTGAATACGAAACATTCAAGTTGGTCTTGTTCCCATCACCCCAAAGGATCGAGCAGGATACAGAATGTGCAATACAGTCAGCTACCAGCAAATCCACGGTCACAGTCACATTCTTATCCTTTTGGTTAGTCTGTCTTTCGATATTAATTGCTTTTACATACTTTATACAACTGTGTCCTTAAATTGTAAGAATTTAGTGAACGAGTAATAAAGTGTATAATGCGCAATATTGGCTGTCAAAAGATAACAACAATTGAAATTTGACTGAGAAATACTTTTAAAAAGCCTTGTACGAAAGAAATATGTTTGTATATTTACTAATAATGGCGCATATTCAAAATCATTGCTAACCGTTTATCATCGTACTTAAGGTACGACTATCCTACATATGTCCTAACGCATTAACTCCGCCTTGAACAGTATTCAAATAGGCTAGAACTACTATTTACTACATTGAAACTTAGGATCGTGGGTTCAAACCCCAGAGAGGTCAACTTTTTTTCTTCTTCTTATTTCTCTTATATCCTTTTGGAAAGAAAAACGTGTTTGAATTTAATCATTTATTTAATATAGGTATTTATTGGCTAAAATAATGCTAAATTTAATGACAAATATTATACCTGTTATTTTCAAAGTGTAATAAAATTAAAACTAGACGGTAAAAGTATTAAATATTTCATAAGATCAACCAATATACTTTTAAAAAATTTAGGGAAACTTTAAAAAAAAAGGCACTCAGTTTAGTTAATTTAAGGGATTTTTAATATGGCCCTTAAGTAGGAAAATGGTCAAACACGTCTTAAATATGGGTGGGGTAGGGTAACATTTTATACATATTTCATAAATTTTTAGTAGAAACAATCATTCTGCTTATGTGGATTGTTAGCTGAATGGTACATTTTGTTTCTTACTAAAAATTAATAGGAAAACATTTTTCATAAGGATGATATGGTAGATTATTTTAAGGTTCATTAATTCTGAAAAAGTGCCATTCTAATATCCCAGCTTCTGTTCAGAAAGTGGCTATAACTCGATTTCTGTACGGTAAAGTTTGTTTAAATTTTGCTAACAGGTATCCTTTAAAGTAAATAATTGACCTATGATGTCAATTTCCGAGTTCCTTATACATGTACATGTATTTCCCGTTAGGGTGGTCATACCTTAAATAAAAAGCAAAGTATTTTGTCCCTGAACATTCTATTTTGTTAACGTACAATAGTCATATGTGTTAAATAACAGATAATTCTATATTACAACTTTGAAAATTGACCATAAGATAGTGTATTCAACACTTTATTATACATGTACATAAATCTATAAATTTTACTTTCATTAAATAAAGATTAGCTACCAGGTGCAGTTTGGTATATAGTTTTATTGGGCCCGTTTGATTTATCAGGTAATATATATATCACTATGACACTGGCACGTTTCAAGATCCTGTATTAACCGTTGTGAGCGTATAGCTATGACTGCAAGACAAAATTATGTCAATATCGAATTTATAAATGTATTATTGAAAATTTGTTTTATTGGATATAAAATAAAAAGAAATCTATAACTTTTCTGCAGTCGAGTATATAGATATTTAGAATATCACAACAGTGTAATATTAACAAACACTGCAAACAAAACACGAACATGTAGTAATTATTATTTCAAACGTTTCGGATATATATTCCTCTCGTGTTTGCAGACTTTTCTGAAGAAACAAAATTATATCGGACAACCAATTGCTTCAAATGTGATTAAAATATGTAAATAGAAGAACCTAGTTCAACTCAAAGAAGTATAAAGTAATGTATATATGAAAGGCAATTTTGATAGAAACAACAAAATGAAGGGACAATACCGGTAATGATGTTGACATTAGTATCATTGGCAAGGACAAAGATTCACTGTATTCCAACAAGTATGTATGTAATATTTCTTACTTTTTGTGTAAATATTATAGCCTGTGTCGCTGCAAAACCGAAAGTAGGGTGTTTTTATGAATTTTACATTTATTTTTGACAATATACTGCCATTTGTCCGAAGATGGCATGTATATGAACATAATAAATATGTATGATGCATATATAATCAAGCCACAGATTCATTTCAGCCCGAAAAATATGTCGAGGTGACGGGCGAGGCAAGACATGTCGACTTTTTGTAGCTTATTGTGAAGTTGCAGTACATGGAAATCGGGCACATGACAATTCAGCACATTAATAAAACATTCTAGTGTTCCGTGGTATACATCTTTTCTACGTGTCGTACCTCCTTTCCTTATTACAATGAAACTTTACTGCATTGTTATCCATCGCTGGTTTGTTTTTTGCAGAGAATGACAGAGAGGGTACCGTTTGAGAATATTTCGCAAAGAGGGTACCGATATGGATATGCACCGTGATATTGTCTGATTTACCTACACAGAATGCGGGAATAATCTATGCAAAACACGTAACCCGAAAATGTGTACTGCTACCTCTTCCAAATATGGTTATACACATTTAGGCTATCGTGTGACGTCACGCAGTGTGTTGGGCGGAAAAAATGGGCGGAGCACTAAGCCGGTTAGATCGCATATTGAGTGTTCTTCGTAAATAAGAAAGCTACAGTCGCTTCGCAAGCTCCGCTCCTTTTTAGCTTTCTTATTTACGAAGAACACCCAATATGCACTCTAACCTATACAAAGATTAGCTACCAGGTGCAGTTTGGTATATAGTTTTATTGGGCCCGTTTGATGTATCAGGTAATATATATATCACTATGACACTGGCACGTTTCAAGATCCTGTATTAACCGTTGTGAGCGTATAACTATGACTGCAAGACAAAATTATGTCAATATCGAATTTATAAATGTATTATTGAAAATTTGTTTTATTGGATATAAAATAAAAAGAAATCTATAACTTTTCTGCAGTCGAGTATATAGATATTTAGAATATCACAACAGTGTAATATTAACAAACACTGCAAACAAAACACGAACATGTAGTAATTATTATTTCAAACGTTTCGGATATATATTCCTCTCGTGTTTGCAGACTTTTCTGAAGAAACAAAATTATATCGGACAACCAATTGCTTCAAATGTGATTAAAATATGTAAAAAGAAGAACCTAGTTCAACTCAAAGAAGTATAAAGTAATGTATATATGAAAGGCAATTTTGATAGAAACAACAAAATGAAGGGACAATACCGGTAATGATGTTGACATTAGTATCATTGGCAAGGACAAAGACCTCGGTATTAACTTGACATCTTATTTACAATTTGATGATTACATTTGTCTAACTGGAATAATGAATTTGAAGGGCACCCGTTCCTCAACAAGTGAAGTTGGTTATAAAAGTCGCCATATAACCTTTATCGTGTTGGCGCGATGTTAACCCAACAAAAAGTAAATAGAACTCTTACAATAGTTTGTATAATAGGATTTAATTTTATCCGTATGGATAAGAGACAGTTATGTTATTGTTCCTGTAAGAAGTTCTTATGAAACAAATAACAGACAATTTAAAAATAGACAACTTGTGGAAAACAAACAAAGAAAAGAGAGATTTCCAGACAAATAGTATCATCGAATAACGAGTTGGGTTTGAGTTAAAATCAAATTTAGATAAACACTGCAGTAGAAAAGGTTCTAACTTCATGAAATATACTGAAATAGACCAACGCCGCAGCGGAGGATAATACACGGGATCTAAAGGGGAAGGATAGTCCATTCCGGTTTCACAAGTAATCAATGCATTACATTTCTATTACTGCAAATATTAAAAACAAATTGCAAACCGATCGGTTTATAGTTTTCAATGACTGCTTCTTCTGCGCTCGCTTTAAAGATTGGGTTTAACTGAAAACCTCTAGACTTATTTATGATAGGTGACTTTCGTAAAGTGCAAACATGTAAGCCACATATACTGTGACAAACGACAACGATAATACAAATCATAATGACTGTATTTCACTTATAAATTAACAAAACAATCGAAAAATACGAACGCATTTTCGCAAACCTGAATAGTATGTTTTTTTATCTATTTTGGTAAGGCCTGTCACAAAACGCTACGACCGTTTGGGGTCGCGGACAAATTTCAAAGCACTTGAAGGACGAAAAGACATATGAGGGGCTTATGAGTAAATGTGGTGTTTTAAGAGCTAGATGTTTTTTTTCATTAGATGTCCAGTGACTATCGATATAGAAAAAGAAAAAAATACAAATGATTTTAGGGCATTTAAGTCAATGATGCTGACATGTTTTCATCATGTTATGGTTGTTTTCTGAATACTGAACAGTTACAACATCTATGAAGAAGGTATCTTTTTAATTATTTATTTCTTTTTTTTTCTAATCTCTTTTTACAGTTGACTGTGTAATGAAACTGCCCTACAAAAGTGCAATAATTACTTAAACAAATTTATTTCATTTATCAGTTATGCTTGATAAATAAGAAATGTTTCTTTTCTTACTTGATTTGATTGTAGAAAACCTTGTTATGTCAAATTCATTAGTCCCAAGTATTACAAGGTTTCTGTCACTTATCGATTCTGAAACAAAAATGACAATATTTAGAGAATATCCGTCGGAAGTGCTTTCGTTTCTGCCATATTTTAAGTGTAGTACAGGTAAATCTGTGTGAGACAACACATCCTATATGTTACATCATAATTATTTTTTTCTCATGACAAAAGTTGTCATATTATCACATGACATAAGTGATAGGTTAAAAAGGGAAAATTTCAAACATATTAAAGTTCTGCGACACTGTCTAATGAGCATGTTGGTATGACTATGATATTAATATATTGTGTATCAATATTCACTTGAGACATTTGAATATTCAATAACCTTTTATTGGAAATAAATCGGATTCCAAGGTAAACCATACGGATTTATTTATTTTAATGTATGGTACAGCGGTATATGTATATGTATAACTTACCAGCATATCACTTGGCTTACTCGGACAACGTGTAAGACTTTCAGTCAATTGAAGATTGTAGATTCGAATCAAATAATTTTTTTACGTTTTCTTGTACGATATTTCTATTATATTTTGCAAAACATGACCACTATTTTTTTTAATTTATGCATGTGAGTCACTAATAGTACGATTTTACATACTGAATTTAATGAAATGAAAAAATTTGTATCTATCAAGATGATGAAATTGAATAAAAATGAATACTAGAAATGAAACATACATTTTATCCAATCGTTTTTCATATAATTAATAGAAATTACAAAAAAACAATTTTGCCCAGGATTCAACTGCTACTTGCAACTACGTGGTCCCATTTCCGTCGTTCTTACCACTAGGTCATTGAGCGGTATTTATCGATTTGAGAATCGAGATCTATACTTTCATTAAAACATTCAGCGAAAAAATCATAACAAATCACAGAAACTAATCAAATACTTCACGAAAATTGATGACTCTCAGGACAATATTGCCAAAGAATATTTAATCATAAATGAGATTTAATTCAAAACAAAGGTATCATGTGACAAAAATATACTTTAAACATAAAAAATAATACCACAAGAAACCTCACATACTGCCAATCCCCATCGAGCAGGAGAAAAATTATGAAAAAGACTGTAGTTCAATACACACACTGACATTCATATATACATCAAAGGGAATTACCTTAAAAGTACAAAATGTGTATTTTGAGCTATTCACGCCTGAAGTTTCAAGCTGTTTTCTCTTAAACATTTTAAGTTATATCCTGAATGAATTTTATGAGTTATGGTCTGGATAAAAATTATCCAAGAAAAGGAACAATTGGCAATAGCTTAACAAGAAAGAGTGAAGTGAAAATTTATTGTGCTTTCTGCAGTGCACTCCTTCTCAATGACACATATCCACCACACAGTATAAAGTTCATATTCCAAACTTTAGGGAAAAAACATGGAAAGTAATATGGAGCAGTCTTCTTGTGCAAAGCACTTCTTCTTTCTACTATAATGTTTAAATTTGATATTTCAAATACTTAACCAGTTATGATTCGGACAAAAATAAGCAAGAACATTACAAAGGGTTACTTCTTTAAAAAAATTAAGGGTAGAATTTCCATCCTTGTACACTGCACTCCTACTCAGCTAGAATACTCACATTTATTACAAATTTTGAGTGAATTAAATGTAAAGAGCTAGTTTTTTTTCAAAGCAGTTATTCCAGTTTGAAAGCATGTTAAAGAATTTACAATGGACAAATTGGCAGATTGAACATAGAATTTATCTTAACTTTACATTATAATTTAAAAGCATTAATTACCATTTTAAGGGAAGAAAATTGAAGTCAATAACCGGTTTTCGAGTTACCTGCCCTTGAATTTGAAATGTGGCCTTATTTACAATTACTCATAATACAGATTAGCAAAAACTTTCTCTGGTTCCTTTTTTATTTCATTTTCATGTAGTTGACTTCATATCAGTTGATTGTGCAAACTTTTTATAACAAGAAGTAAGTAGATTTTTATTTTTCTCCTTAAAATTTCTTTAAAAAACAGTCTGTCTTTAAAGGGTTGACAGTCTCCGTACTTAAACTGAATAGAAACAAATATTAATGAATACCTTCAGTAACCATAATGTTCATTAGGCTTATCTATAAGTTATCTGTCCTAAAGATAGCCAGAAATAACAAAAAGGGCAAATTATTGGGAAGATAACTTGGATATAAGGAAATGACTTCCTTTGTTCCGCTTAAAAAGTTTCTGTTATCTTTTTAAAGATCATGTAAAATCAAAACAAATTTTATTTTGCCGTTGTCATTCTGCTTGACTTATGTCACAGGGTCAAGTACACATTGTCCGTATTGCTAAGTGCCGTATATTTCGTTCTGTTCGTGTCCATGTTTGCCTCTGTATATTTATATGTTAATGTCCATGTCCCTTATTGTTTTCCGTAGTTATTTCTTCAATGCATATACTCATAGCTCATATCTCATATCCAATAGCCTTTACCTATAATACATAATAGTACTTTATAACCTTTTAAAACTCTTTGATTATCTTTTCTCGCTAATATTTCAATTTCACCGCTATAACGCATGCGCGCTTGGACTGAGAAATTGTGGGCGCAGGCCACGGTTTTGTTGTAGTGAAGAATAAATATTTTGAGTAGCGCATACTTGTTTTTTGACAGACCCCTCTACCCTAGGTCCAAAACTCAAAGCAGAGTCAACGAGCCCTTTGCTTCGTTTGAGCTGCGACACTTATTAACGTGTAATACGTCAAACTCATTCTAAACCTTGCATCATTTATGTAAGTCAGTTGCATAGATTAACTAAAATGTTTATACATAAATATGACTTCTTACCTTCGGTATGAAGATCTTTGAAAGGTTGTGATTCTGAAAATATATATTATTAGAGAAATAACACAACACATTGTATCAAAAAATGCAAAGATTATATACATCCGCCAGTTTTAAATCATCAATTTATGTACTACAAAGTGCTCAAATTAACTTTACGTATTATACGTCAAACTTATTCTACAAATATCTCTAAAACCCTGCATCATATATGTAAGTCAGTTGCATAGATTAACTAAGATATCTATACATAAATATAACTTCTTACCTTCGGTATGAAGAACTTTGAAAGGCTGTGATTCTGAAAATATATATTGAAAGAGAAATAACACGAAACCTTGTATCAAAAAAACTGCTAAGATTAGATACGTTCGCGAGTTTTAAATCATCAATTTAATGTAGTGCAAAGTGTTCAAATTAACTTTATAGAAAGAAAATGTGAATTGAATTTCGTGTATTATTTCGTAAAAATTACTTTTATTTATTTATCAAACTTCTCAAAGTTAACGTTGCTTAAAGGTGGCTCACACACAAAAAACGTCATTGACAGGAAAATGCATTACCTGAGCTACAGTTCTTTCCTGTCCATCCAGGCTTGCATACGCATGTGTAATCATTAACTTTGTCAATACACTCAACAAAATTCTTGCACTGTCCAATACAATCGTTTATATCTAAATAAACAAAGGTATGTCAAATGGTGTTAATGGAAACATTAATAAGAACATTATCTTCTTTAATTAGGGTGGTTAAATAGTACCAGAGTGTTAAGTAACGGTAGTATGAAACAAGTATTATTATTACCCCTCATTTTTTTCGTAATGCTAATTTCCCATAGGCCTCTGGGAGTTATTTTTGCTGTTAATGCAAGTGTACCACGTGACTAAGAATTTTGTACTGTTACATAGGTAACAGTATTTTTAACAGTATAAAATCTGGTCACGTGGTCTATTTTCTAAATAAAATGAAATAAAATGGCCGCCATTTTTTTCTCGATTCATTCTTATTTTCAACGTTAAACCCCGATAGGACATCAATTTCTTCTCTGAAGTAACTATGAAACTCATAAAATTTAGTTGTTTGCAACCTGGTGTGCTTTTCGCGTATAAAATATCTTTTTGTTGAATAGTCAAAAAGTGAACATCCGTTTTCAACGGAATTAATTGCAATGTAAATAATTATGTGTCAAACTGGAACATGCAGACGATTTAAGCATGCAACAAAGGATTATTTAACAATTTTAATCAGTGGATATGGTGGACAGACATAGGATATCATCGTTATTTTGTCTAAAACCATGCTAAGAATATTCTGGAAACAGAAGGATCAGATTTCACAGATCATAACCGTGTAAATGGGTTACGCCTCGGGTAACAGTATATTCCTCGGGATGATATTTTTACTGTTACCCACAAACCCATGTGTTATTTATATACTGTCAGCATTTTTTATGTTTCTCGTACTGTGTGAAATTAAGTTCCTTTTCAATTGATTGAAGTAGCAATTGGTTAAATTTGTGCCGTTGTACAGTAAAGTTTAAGATTTTATTTTACTAAACATGTCATAAGAGCGCCACCTGATATTAATATAGGGGAAATCTTCAAATTACTCTAAGCGTTTGATTTATATTAAACTGTGTTCACTTTGTTATTTGATCGTTAATGTAAATCTTTATATGACATAAAATATATATATTCGCCACAAAAAGACAACGCGATGCAAGTTTGTGTTTTAGGTTAATCATAGTCTTTTTCAGAAATTTGCTCTAATGTCGTTGAACGACATTGTTCAGAACAAACAAATATTACCTATAAAATAGTTGAAAAGTAACTAATGAAATTAATTTATAAAAACTTTGGATTTTTTCAATTCATTTGGCACTTGTATTTTGATTTGATTTAATAAAGTTTACCTAATGCAAACACGAGTCCTTAGCTTCTGTTTCAAATGATTCATGTCGTAAGAATGACAGTTAGCTCGTAAGAACAGTAAAATACACAACAGGTACAATCATTACATAACTCCCAAGCGATTGAAGACTGGATACCTGTCGTTAAGCGAAGCAATTTAAGTTAATTGAAAGGTGTACTTACTGTTATCACAGTAGGTACCATTCCAGCCGGCTTTGCAGTAACATTTAAAGGTCTGTTGTAAGTTTTTACATTTTCCGCCATATTTACAGGGACTACTGACACAGAAATCTTTTTCTGTAAATCAATAACATATTTGCCATTAAACCGTTACTTGATGGCTTCATTGAAAAAAATATTAATGCTGTAAGAGTATAAAACTATTTGCTCATTTGCGATTCCTCACATAAATATCCCTACTTTAAATGAATTTTTAAAAAGATACACATTGGTTTTCTACTGCTACTGCTCTACTGTTTTTGTTACAGACAAAATAAATAAGAAGTTTATATATCAAAGGAAAGCATCGTTTATGCATTGCAGCCAGATAACAAACCCCCATCCTTACACTCTTCCATCTACCCGATTAAACCAAGCCACACAAAACAACCCGAATGCACCTAACGAGACATCAAACATAAACAGATAAAAAATATGGAAGAAGTAAAGGAACTCACTTCATAATAATTCAAAACAAATATTCTTAAAAACTTAAAATTATACAGACATGTGAACCTTGCACTAACAGTGGTCTTGCTGAAAATTTGTTATTCAGGCAATTCTAGTTGCAATACGCAAAATTATTTGTGAAGAGAGGGGACGTAGTGGAAACATTTTATCGGAAACGAGAATAACTAATACAATGAGAGTTATTTTACTAACAAAATTGTCATTTAATGATAAAAGCTTTAAAGGAGGCAGGGTAAGCCCGGAAGGTAATAATCGGCCCATTTAAAAAATGTTGTTTCTTTCTTTTGCATTTGGATGAACGGTTTCACTTAAATTTTAACCATAAAATCAAGTCATCGTTACTATAAATTTGAACCCTTCTTTCTCTTCTTATCTGGCCTACTTTTATATGTTTATATTCGTGCTTTTGTTCAGAGGGGTGATCACATTACTGTTTTTTACTCCGGCCGCAGCTTATAATCAGTCATGTGACACTCAAACCAGTGAAAATTATAGTTAAATTTGTTTCTACAATTATGGCAAAAAATATGTATTCATAAGAAATTTAATGAAAGTGACTATCACTGGAAAAACGGTCGCGTCTAAAATTACTTCATCAAGGTTATATATTGAAACAAATTAACCAGGATTAAAGTCATTCAATAATCGCGTTCTGTTTAAGTCAACAAATCGAGTGTGTCAAAGAAACAAAGTCAGGCATTTATAATAAAAAACAAAAAAGCGCCAAGTCTCAACTATTAGCCATAATGTAACGTTTGTGGCAATTTTAATAGTCAGAAATAAGTTTAAAACCTGCTTTATTCTCCTAAGTGTGTTATCAAATAATTAGCTTCAGTTGTGAATATTTAAGCGTAAAATCCGTTTAAAGGGTATAAACCAAAACTTGTGGCTTGGTGCTTTCAGTGAGAATATAATTACTTGAATTAATGGAAGATTTTGTTTAACACGAACTGGATATAATTTTGTAAAAAGGCAGTTGTTTTTTTCTCTGAGTACTGATAAGGATATAATAAGTACCTAGTAATATATATATGGTATGCCATGTCATATTTTCGCTCCTAATTACTACAAAATGAAAATGCTATCGTATTATCGTGTGTTTTTTCGGCGCCAACGGAGCGAAAATAGCACCAATCAGCTTCCATAATCTGGAAACTTAGCAGTAAACATAATGAGGCAGGAATGTGTTAAAAATGTATTGACTATGAGGCTATTATTGCATGACTATATTAAAAAAACTCAAAATAAAGAGGAAAATAGTACACGTGTTCAATAATCTCATAAGTCAGTATCCCTTCAATTACCTAAGCAAATTTGGCATATGCATTGTTCAGGACGAGTTTACAGCCAACGGGGACTATCAGAATGTAACATGGGTTTTGCAGCTGTGCATACATAGAATACGTATTGTTCTCAACAACGTATAATAATTTAACGCTTAAACTATTGAGGTTTTGACAAGCCGAGTTGCTTCGAGAACATAAGCAATATCATAACGATTTTTGGACGCTAAAAATGAAGTTAAATGGCGAGTACAATTGTTATTTGATGGGGGATTTAAGGACTTGTATAATAAAAACAAGTCTCGATGGAGTTCAACATAAGCTTGGCATTAATGTTTTAGACTCAGAGGATGAAAACAAGGCTAAATTGAGTAGACTGGATAATTAATAATTAATTGATTTTTGGAGATCACATATCATTATGCAAAGGCTGAAGATTAATTAGTTACGATTTATTGAATGTAAATAAACCGAAATTAGTTTTTGAATTAAGAATTAGTGTAATGTACTGATTTAGGACTTATGCTTTAGTCCTGTATTTGTTTAATTTTATTATTGCAGTGCATGAAAATAAACATTGAGTATAAATAACTTACCTACGTTCCAGATTTTTGTTAAAAAATATAGTTGAAAAGAAGCTGCTGTTCTACATTTAGAGGTATCGTCACATTTTGTTTTTTCTTGACACATGGTTGAACATTCAGGGTATTTTTCTGAATACCAAAAATTAACTCGGTCTTGTTTGAAGCTTGAAACCATACCACCAAAGTGACAATATGATGGCATTACCATGTGCTCATACCATTGTAATGTACCAGTAACTGTTGTACGTAAGCTTTTGTTCTGAGTGTCATATGCTTCCACCTGCAATGTAAATATGTAAGATGTAAATATACCCGACTTATCCTAAAAGACATTTCTGATATATTTTTCCACTGTTCTGAATTTTAAATTCTATATATTTAATACAAAATGTATTACTTTTAAATGCAGAAGTAATTTTTGTAAAAATTGAGTTGAATAATAATATGATGCTTTCTTCATATTTGTATTTCTTGGTCACTTAAAGAACAATGACAATATGAAAAAATCTGATGTTATCAATTGGAGACATTATTTTCAATATGTAGTAAATTGTATAAGTTCTGGGTAACTTACGAATGCTCTAACTAATGTATGTTCCAGGTCATTGATCACAACCGGAAGGATGTAATCTGGTTGCAATACTCGACTTTTATCATTGTCAGATTGTACTAAAATATCAACTAAATAAACTGAATTGCCATGATCATTGATGATATCAGAAATTTGCAATTTTTTATCTAAAGATGTCCACACTTTATTTCCAGCCATTTCTAATTCCTGAAGTGTTACGGAACTGTGAAGCACATCTTTCAGATATATTGAAGAGTTCAACAAATCTCCAAGTTTAATGTGTGTCGCTATCAGCTCTAAAATTTGAATGTCCCGATCAGATTCTTTTCTGATACTAAAAATTAGTGCAAATGAATCATCAAGCCACTTTTCATATTTAATTTTAAGCAAACTATAGAGTGAGGAAGACATTCCAAAGGTTCGGTTAAAATCAACTATATCACCAGATAAAGTTGGCTTTTCTGATACCAAGTCAACCATTTGTTCAAGCAATCCTGTAATAATAGACACACACTCAAATGTTTTAATTGTCAAGATATCTACTTTACCAATTTCAGTATGTAGTTCATTGAAGGTTCTATTATCAAAGTGTAGGTATGCAGCCGATTCCTCCATTTCAGACACTTTATCTTTAATTGTATCTAGCTGTTTACTTATGTCTTCGAGGTATTGCAGTAGTTGTGGTGTTTCCTTTGATTTATTTTTGTCGTTGAGGAAAGAAATGTTTAGGTTGTTTGCACTTGTAGCAACTGTATAAACAGAGCTTTTAAAAACGGTGATACTGTCATTGAGTGCTCTTCCAGATTTATATAGTTCACGTAATAAGAAAAATATTGAATCACCGTTAAAAATATTTTCTAGTTCCACTGATTCATTAAATAATTGAATATAATCAAATGCTTCTTTAATAACAACAGTGTTTTCTATAATTGCATCCAGTGTGATAGAAGTGTCTATGAATTCATGAAAGAAAATTTTATCATTTAACGGAATTTCAGCTTTCAAAGAGGTATTTAGCACTTGTCCGATAGGTAAATTGTTGTCAATAACATATCCTATCGGCAAATTTGTATCGAGTACATTCATTAGAGTAACTGTTCCATCTAAAACTATTCGAAGTGATTCTGACATCCCCATAATTTGCTTAAGGGTAGATTTGTTTTCACATTTTATTATGTCATTAATATAGGTTGTATTAATGACTTCTCCAACAGTCAATGATTCGTTTAAAATGCGAGTAATTGTCAATTCCTTGTCAATCAATTCACTAACAGGAATTGACTTGTTAATCACAACATCAAATACATGAACAGATCTGTTAAATAATTCAGCGATTTTTGTCTTATCGTCCATTTCTATTCCCGGTACCGTTGGTATGTCTACAGAATCATAAACAAAGGATTTTTTCATTGTCGTTCCATACATATCTGTTGAATTCCAAGCATATATCTCTATCGACCCACCTGTGATAATTGCCCTTCCTGTTCCGTACCCAGCGATCAAAGCTTCTACAAAAATACATGCTTTGCAATTTATATGATTTAATTTATCCGAAATCACTCAATATATTTCGTTCAATTATTGTTTAACTTATTATTTTCACCAAAGGTAGTGATGTTTTCGTGTCAATGAAAAGGACAAGATCTGCAGTGACGCTAGCATGAATACATAAAATGTTTCAATTACAAATAGATCTTCGAACCCCGAATTATTCTACTTAAAAAAGTGCCTTTGTGAGTTTTTACGCCAAAAAAAGTTGATTCGTCAAGTGAAATCGTTTACCAATGAATACACACAGTGTGTTAACTGGATCCCGATAAAATCATTACCCACTGGCTAAATTTTGTCTATTGGATATATTATGCTGTTCAAAAGTTATTCAACGGATAAAATGCATTATCCAATGGTTACTTTTAACCAGTCCTATGACCACCGGTAAATGGTCTCAACCAGTGGTTAGTCACCATCATTAAAACAGTAAAAAATCATAAAAACTTGTTTAAAATCACATTTATCTTACAAAGGTATGCTTATTTTTCGCTTAACTAGAACAATTCATATGAATGCATAGGATCATATAAAAACTTTTCTAAAACGTGCTTTTATTTTTAGAACCCTTTTTCTATCTCATTTTGTTGTTGTTGTAGTTCAGAAAATTCAGTTAGACAGTCATAAGTTTCTTATTTTTAATGAAACATACAGGTGTCAGTACTCATTTTCTTAGTTAGAGCATAACCCTTCTAATGGAAGTAATTTAAATTTAAAATTTGAAAAAGAAAGTTGTTTTATGTGTGTCTGAGGGAAAAATATATCATCGATACGTTAAGGCCTTTGATATACTTTTTGTTTAATTCCAAAAACATGAAAGCACAGACATGCAAAATTAATTCTTTGGGAGCTTCCTGGTCCTTAGAGATTTATTATTCGTCAATAAATAAGCCATTTTGTTTCCAGAATCACTAACCGGCCTTGTTTCAGTGTGGTGCTTAACCAGTGGATAAATACGCAATCCACTGGTTAGGTAGCCAGGGTACTATCAAACTGTCTAACAACTGGATAGCTGGCCGCTGGTTAAGGATTTAACCCGTGAATAAGCTATCCATTGGTTAATTTTAACCAACGTTTTGAACAGTCAGGTCCTTGACAACAGGGAAAGTGTTTTTTATCTTTGCCTATAATACAAAAGAGAAATAACATCAAACACTTGACAATCGAAGTCTCCTCGTACATATCAGATCAATCTTTTACCAGAATTGTATTCTTTAGAAACAAGGAAATATCTATAGAACAGTTGCGATGTAATATGATGGGCAAACATACAAGTTCCAAATTGCAAAAGGATGACATTTATTGCTTAAACTATGCATTTTATTTCAGGTTGATTGCGGTAGCAAGTGTTATTAATATAACCTGTAAAGAAAAGTATGGTTAAAGTGATTGACTAACCAGATGCTTTCCAAAGTAAAATACTTTTTTCATCATATTCATATGCAATATAACCGGTTTTCTCGGGTGATTCGGCAAGCATTCTTATTGGTGCACCTATAAACAGAGAAAAGCATTTTACTGTTAAATCAATAATTAATTTGTGTTTAATATAGGCAATAAAATTTAGAAGAAAACGTTTGGAATGATGTTTACAGGCTATATGTGTTGGCACAAGTAGCAAAAAGTCGTAAATAAGACCCTACTTTAAAGCTGACTTTATTTCATTTGTTCCATGTGACATGTGCTTAAAGGCTTTCCTATATTTAATCAACGCTGAAATTGTTACCATGTCAATAACATGTAAATAATTGCTTTAATCTTTTCTCTTTTTCCTTTTCTTCAATTTTATTTTTCTAAAACATATTTTCCTTGAAATATTTGGCTAATCTGGAAGCATGCAGCTTTATATTTAACATGTAAATCAAAATCGTCATAAAATGTACAATGGTTTGTATTTCTTCCGTTTACAATTCGTTTTGTGATCTTGACCGACCTGATTTTAAATGATATGTTTGTTTTATACCTATCGAATCTGAATAAACGTCCCGAAAGAATTTGCATTTCGAATAGATATATTTCATTCTTGATATGACGAGTTCAGGATACTTTCCAAAACCATGCGTTATTTCGATTTTCTCAAAATTGCCAGCCACATATATAGTCTTTGTAAAAGATGGCTCCGGCAAACTTTTTGACTTCCAGGCTCGAATTCGGACTTTCTTCGTCAAACCATCCGGCAGCTCGGCTGAAATAAATATAGACTGACGTGGTTCATGAGATCAGACACAAAGTTGGTACATTTTATTTAAACGTTTAAATGATTTGTTACAGAATCACGCTTAGTACGCTTAGTGACATGTATGTTCATCTATGCAACAAATATAACAGCTTAGACGCTTAGGCCATGATCGTTTACTTTTGGCATTTACAGTAATTTAAACTTCTTGAAAACGTTTGTAACTTAAATAACACAATATCTATGTTACCATATTAAAGCATACTTCTTAGGTTTGTACTGTAACAAAGGTACCGCATGTAACATTTGTAACAAATGAGTGAAATTTTATAATACAGATGCTTCAATTACTAATATAGATAGTATAAATAAAATCCTGGGACAGTATTTTGACTTGTGTCTGATTTTTCCCTCAAATATATTATCCAATCATGTAGCTATACATAGACTATGTAGCTGTAGGCCGTAGCATAGTGTATAGGATGCCGTTTCAGGTAAAATTCTATCTATCATTAACACCTTATTCTATTGTAATGTTAAATATTTGACTGCATTGACCAATCGCAATGTACAATATCGATTAGACAACCATGTTATCATTGAATCGTATATTCGAGTGAGAAATACATTTGAATAATTGCAAAATATATATTGTTTTATATATTTTTTCTGGCAATTTTTATAGCATCGTGTTTGATATATATGTTTCTACAATATTGTAGGTAAATATGTAAATCTGTTTCGTTAATAATGCTTTTAAAGATGTTTTTCTATGCGTCTTTGTGTAAACTATTTTTTACTATATACGTCGCTATATTTGTTCATTGTTTACATTGACAATATCGATGAGACAACCATGTTATCATTGAATTGTATATTTGATTGAATAATTGCAAAATATATATTGTTTTATATATATTTGCCAGTAAATACCCGCGGTCAGTGCAGCTTATAACCCTCAATCCTCAGTCGACGCACTTATAAACCTTATCTACAGAACTATATGACATATATATGAGAATCCCAACTGCATCACTTAACGGTAACAAAACCTTTTTATAGATGTGTTAAAGCACAAGCCCTAAAAATATTCAAAACTCGGAATAAGTGGAATAGCATTGATGTTAAAATGCTCTTACATAGGTGATACAGTATTGACATGTGTACACAAACCTTACGAGAATTCGTTATGAAATAAAAGTTTATTACTTAATTATTACAAATGCTGTGTAACATGTGTTACAGACCATGACTTAAATAGGTCGTGAATTGTTATGGATGTTAAAACATTGTTTTTTTAGTTACACAGACTATGAATTGAAATATTCCCAATGAAGTCATTTTAACTTGCTATAAATATTACTGAAATTGCAAACATTACATATATATATTACTCAGTGGAACGATTGTAACAAATTTCAACTGTTTCAATAATGTATGAATATTTTGTTTCCCACGTTGGGTGCCTAAAAGAAACACAATTGTAAAACTTAGCCTTACATTAAATTCAAAATAAGGGCTGTTTGACAAAGAAAAATATTCATGAAAGTAACATTAAAGTGTTTTATTACATATTTTTTAAAGCACGTTACCTGTGAATTTGCACTTTCCGTAGTCTCTGTTTTTATTTCGAGATATGTCTATGACCTTGACCACCCGGTTGTCATATACATACATTACTCCATTTTCACTGTCTGGGTCGTAAATTCCACATGTTGTTCTCCAACATCCAGATGGCCTAACCACTTGTGTTCCTAAATCTGTGTTTTGAATTATGTGCCCTAAAATATTAAATGATTAATTACGGAAACCAGGTATAATGCTATTTTTACCATTGATAATATAATGATTGCATGACATGTATTGAAGCGTTGACATTCAGTTCGGTTGCAAATTTAATCACGTTTTTACCGTTCATAAAGCACATATGAGCCGCGTACGACAAAACCAACGTAATGCGTTTGCAACTAGCATGGATCCAGACCAGCCTGCGCATCCGCGCAGTCTGATCATGATCCATGCTGTTCGCTATTAGTTTATCTACTTGTAATAGTGTTTGTAAGGAACAGCATGGATCCTGGTCAAGCCTTCGCTATATTAACAAAAAAAAGTAAATGCTGGGAGTTGATGACTAATATCATTCCAATATATCCGGTAAAAGTCAATCTTACTAAGGTTAATGTATAGATATGAAAACTCAGCAATAAATTATTTATAAAACTAATTATCATGTCTGTAGAAATCGAACATACAAAGTTATTTCGGAATTGGTTATTATATACATGTTATTGTACGTCAACGGAATCTATATTTTTTTTAATTGATTTAGGTATTTCTTTCAATCATGCTATAAACGAAATAGACTTTATTTTCCTTTCGATATCAAACAATACATTGCTTATTTTCATGATAAAAAGATTGAAACTTTGTTTGTGCCTACATCCGAAGTAAAATTCAATTCGTAAATAATCATCGAGATGTCCTTATTGTTTCCTAACAAAAAGATAAATTACTGGTTAAAACAACTTGCAAGCAGTGCTCAAAATGCTTAGGTAAGGTACTTGAAAATTGACTTAGACATGGATTGGAAAACAAACAATATCATTTGCGGAATGTGTTCCTATGGCGATAAAATGCATGCCTTTAGTTGTACACATATTTAGTATTCTTACTTTCGAGTCAACATTTTGATTATTTTGTTTTGATTTTGATTGTTTTCTTTTCTTTTATTATTAAATTACTTTACTAAGACGACTATTGGTTCCCTGAATTTTTCTAAAGCTCGGTTATGCATGTACAATGTTTATTACATTTTTTTTGGACAAGAAGGGCTGAACATATTTTTTCGAGATTTATGCTCCATATGATGTAGGTCTAGCTTACAATATCTATGCAAAATACAGATCATAAGCTTGCTCTGTTGTGTTTTGTTTTGATTTTTATGACCTAAAACTGAAAAGCCTTGTAACGCTTTTTATTCAGATCGGACTTCGAGTAACTCAAAAATATTAGCTCTCGGAATATTTTTTTAATAATCTTGTGCAAATCTTTATAATTTAAATGCCCCAGCCGATCAATTTAAGAAATTCAAATTTTATGTTTTGAGATTTTTAGAACACAGTGGAGTTTCTTGAAACTAGAAAAAAAACGAAAAAATTGTCACTGACATGTAAAATATACATGTACATCAATTCTTTCAAATGCTATTAAAGATTACAACATAACATATTATTTATTCGGCATAAAATGTCATAACATGCATAGCCATATCAACATATATTACACAAACATATAAAGTGCAAGTAAATGAACAAAGAAGTCGTTTGTAAAAATATCTCTAACATTTTAACATTTTTGTATGTATGGCATACCTGAAGCTTGATATATAGGACCGTTATCACTCGTTTTGAACTGAACGTCCACCAGTAACGGCGTCTCATGGAGTCCGTGCAACACTATCTTTACAGTTTCTGTAGAATTCATATCCGGTAACAGATCTAACCAACCTGAGTTGAAGTCTGGCATTTTCAACATTCCATCTTTAAATATAAGAACTCATGACCTTTAAACTTACAGACTCCTTATGTCAGGACAGAATATTGAAGGAAAACTGTCATTGAATGTCGAGTTTTAGCACTTTTCGTACTAATGCGTTTTCGTATGAAAGTGACGTGCAATTGAAGGTAGATTGTTTAAGTAGACGACAAATAAGGACGTCTTTTTGTTTTCATAACTTTGACTTGACAGTCCACCAAATAGAAAAATGTTCATTATTTTCACTTATACAAAAAGAGTTAGAGGTATAAATCATACATAGAAACATACCTGGACCCAATAAATAAATTGTGAGTTGGGCAGATTCTTCATAACCATCAAACATAAAGAATTTACATTTTTTACAAATGAATAATAAAAGTTGTACCTATATGACTTATCAGTTTATGATTTAAAAACGTATGAGAAAAAAAGGAAATAATTTTATTAACTGACAGTAGCTGTGTATGCGTCACGATTATCCAATCAAAACTGACGTTACAAAACGTGCAAAATTATATATCAAATATATTTATGAGCCCTTGATAAAGTACTGTTATGATGTAAATCAGATCAAATGAATTTAGTTATGAGTAATTTCAAGTTATTTTATTGAAAGAAAGGTTTGATCGATACTACTCGATCCGACTTCCCGATTGCTAAATTTAACAAATAAATTCCAAATATAATTAGATTTTTACGTTTTATAAGTATTTACAAAGTAAAGATGACTTACGTGTCACGTGAAGTAAGCCAAAGAGTAATAATCGCCATAGCAATGACCTGAAACGGAAAATGAAAATAAAGCATTTTATCGTTAAAAGTACCAGTTTCATTTACCTTAAGAATACATGTAACATAATGATTGCGGGAGATTTATGTTTATTCGGGACATCATTAACATTTTACCTGTTTGATATTTACAATGTCTTGCATTGAATTTAGAACAGTCTATTTTAAGTTAAAGGGATTACGATATGTTAATACAAAAAGTAATCTATCCACAGTATGGATCCTGGACAGACTGTACATTTGTGTAGGCTGGTCTGGCTCTATACTGGTGGAACATCATTTTGGTCCTTGCAGGTTAAGAGTTAAAGTTATTTATTGAGAGTAATCTTGAGTGCAAACAATGACATATAAAATATTTGAAAAATAAGATATATTTAATAATTGTCCAAACCGTCCCTTGTTTAACCTACATAATAATGAATGAGCCCTTGTCAGTGTTCTAGACAAGAGAAATAAATTAGCAAATGAGCATCATTGAGCAAAACATATGATTGTATACACAAATCGAGCAACAGAATATGTCAATACTTAAAGAAATGACAAATTTAAAGCAAGATATAGTACACGTTATTTAAGATTGTAACACAATAAGACATTTTGTGAAATACAATTTGATGCGGTAGAAACAATGGACACAATAAGCAATATATGTGGCATTATGCTCATTTTTTACCGTCGAGCAGACATAAAGTAGCTGGTTAATTCACAGGATTATAAATGGGGATTGAACAAAATTTGACAATATTTAGAATAAAAAACAGAATTGTCTAAAATATAAAAAAACTGCCTCACTAATTCTATAAATTGAACATTACCGATACTTTCCAAAAGATATGTATAAAGTTATTGGTATCAAATTTAATTGAATTAATTGTAAGCGGAGACGAAAAAGCAGCTAAGCAACAAGTTTCATAAGATTTAGTATAGACCAATAACTTGCTTAAAGTTGTCGGCAATAACTTCTAAAGTATTTATAAGACGGCCCTTCATTCATGATTGAGCGCCATGGAATGTATATTGTCTTTTAATCAAGTCGTATCTTTATTCCTTTCAATTGTTTAATTAATGTGCACTAACTGTACTACACATTAGCCAGCAAAACAAAATTTAATTGAGTAAAAGAATATGATTTTCAAAACGTCACTGAAATTGAGCATAGATATATTGTTTTTTTGGCTATCTTATATATTTTTTACATTAATAAACTCCTAATACTCGAGAAAAATGTTTTGTGATTATGGAAAACCTTTAAGTACATGAACTGATAATGAAATGAAATTATCTTCTTTAATATGAAAATCAGACTGAAGTACAAACATAGCTTTTGTATCGATGCATCTAAAGTGCAACTACATAACTTGATTCCTTAAACTGATAATATAATGGCTAACTTTAATATAAAGTCATCAGAAATACGGGACATTCTTACTTGATTTTAACCAAAGCTGTTGGCCTAGACCAAATAGGACACGTACGTATTAGTATTTGTTCTTATACAATAGATATCTTCATGAAGGCATTTTCCAAACAAATGGAAGCTAGCAAAATGTTATGCCTCTCTTTAATAGGCGATTCGTCAGATCCATCAAAATATAGACTTATTGCACTCATAAGCTGCACACGCAAAGTAATGGAAAGAGTAAAGTTCAAACACTTATACAATCATTTCTATATAAACAACTTAATATATCCTTTACAGTCTGGTTTTCTCCTTGGTCACTCTACAGTTGATCAGCTTATTTACATGTATCACAAAATCGGCGGCTCCTTTGATGAAAGACAATCCCTCTGCATGCCAATTTGCGACATTTCAAATGCATTAGTTTTGCCTATGTCATTACAACTAAAAGTTTCGTAATTTAATCTGCAGATATTGCTAATTTAAAGAACCTGTATGCTGTAATTAAGGTTGTTAACACACAAAAGAGAAATTTCATAGAGACAAGAGACAATTTATTTTCAATCAAATAAGGCTTATAAGCCCATGATGACATAGTTACAGCATATTTACATATTAACATTATATATTTATATAATTATGCTTCTAAAACATCGAAGACTATGTAAAATATGAACTGCAAACTTTTGTCCACATTATATGTAGCCATATATACATTCATTTCTTATTGAAAATTTTGACTTAGACTTTATAGAAAATAAATTTCTAATAACGTCCCTTTATAAACATGAAAAGTAGAATCGGTAATATCTTTACAAATAATGCTTTTTAGAACTTACAATATTGATAAATCTTCATTTAAGCATTATATTTATGTTTTAAAACCATTAAAAAAATGAGTTGCAGGATCATAAATGCAAATTATGGGATCAACGAGGGCCGTGGATCGGTGATGCGGCCATATCAGATCTCAGTGCATCAAACATTAAAATATTAATTGTTTATTAACATATAATTATCGTTAAAAAAAGATATTGCCATAAACGACTGAAATCATTAATTTTGTATCGATGTAAATAATTCTATTTCGGCATTGATTAACACATTTTTGTTTTGTAAAATTCTCAACTGGGAAGGGCTTAATATAATGTTGTAAGAACTTGTTGCCCAAGCCATTTGTTTATGTTTTACTGTTCTATTTTTGATGGTATATTTGCATGTATATAGGCAATTAAATATGGTTAAACTTAATATCTTTTGAAGATAGAATTCGAAACATTATAAAATAAATGTAGCTTTTGAGTCCTCCCCAAGAGAAACATCAAAACCCAAAACAGACAAATCAAAACGTCAGCCTATGTTACATTATTGTTTAATTACATGTTTATGGCACCCTAGACAGAAACATCTAACTTGCAACGTGAAAAGTGTGAAAAGAGCTGCTTCAAGATATGTATGTAACAATAATGGTTTGCAAAACAGTGTCAGTCAGATGTTAGAAAATCTTAACTGCCCCGCTCTCTCTTATCCTCACAATTCAGCATTGTATATGTTGATCATAACCATTTTATCCCAACTAGAAATTTGAACTTTCTGATTCCTGATACCTCAGTCCCGTACTCATTACCACCCCATCTCCTACTTTCCTAAAACTGTTATTGGAATAATCATCCAAACCAGGTAAAATCGTGTCCCAGTCTAAATACCTTCCAAGGATAGACTGGTAACAACATCCCTTTTCTAGTCCCTTCAAGCACTCTTGCACTCTTTTATCTGTAAACTTGTATCTTTTTACAAGCATTTTACTACTTTTAACATAGTTTTTGTGACAAGCGTCTCCAAGTTATATAGTCAGTCTTGATGGACCTTTCCAGTTTTTTGTAGCGGAACATTTAGCCACACCTTTTTCATTCGTTGCAAGGTCAACTGCTCACAAACAGTATCACAAACATAACCATGTGTTCTTTTGTGCAAACCAGGTTAACCAGTGCCTATGTATTATCTCAGAGTAGCAATTGGATAATAAGTTAGCCAATTTACATAAAACTGTAAACACTGGAAAGGTCCATTGCTCAGGAGTATCATGTAGATGTAGAAAATTACTAAAATGTAGCAACAACTACGTTCGGTCGTGATGCTTTTCAATTATAAAATATATATTGAACTTTTGCTACTTTATTACATTTTTTTACATTTAGCGCTATTGTCGTCAGGTACCTGTAACAAGCACCTAACATGCTGTAAACCACTATTTAAACGTAATAAAACTCATGTTTGACGTTCCTAAAGAAGTAAATATTTAATCATATCTAAGGCATTATGTGCGTTTTAGTATTTCACATTTATGGGGATATAAAATATAATCTAAAATGAAAATGTGATATCTATTTACATTGAAATGTTGTTAAAATGCACATTTGTCATACCGATTTTCATAAGAAAAAAGATTTTTTTTACATTTTCTATGCACATGAATGCTGCGACATTATACATAAATTATAATGTTATCAAACAATGTCATAAAGCAAACAATGATATACAGACTAGGGCAGGTAATAAATGGTAGTTTGCTCTTTCTTTTTTTTCTTCTTTTTTTCTTTTCCCTTTTGTGCATCCTTTTGTTAAATTTGCATAATATCTCTGTAATTAATTAAACTAGCAGTACGGTGACGAGGCCATGAAATATTTTCTTTTCTAGAAAATATAAAGAACAGTTTTATTTAGTACTCAGATTGGAAGCAGCGTTGGATAATGAATATAATGCATTCTGCATAATCTCTTTAAAATATTCATGTTTTGCATATGTCTGTAATCAAACAATAAAAGTTATAAAGACAAAGAAAGCGTCTGTTAGACTAGACTTTCATATGTGAGGTAACTAAACATTTTTTTCTTTTCTTCGTGCATTCTTTCATGCCTTCTAACGCAATTTCAATCAGGCTTTTTTTATTCATTCATCAATTAATTCACTCGCTCGCTCATTCATTCATTCATTCATTCAGGTCATTTATTCAGTCAGTAAGATCTTTAATCCTCCATTTATTATTCTGTTCGTACATTTCTTTAATTATTCATCCATTTGATATTTGCTTTTATGAATATAATTATTTTATTGAACAAAAGGCAAATGCCTGTGAGTACATATATACAATCATATAATGCAAGGTTTTTTTACAAAATAATCAGTGGCAGTCCAATTCTATATAAATCATCATAAATGTATTTAACCGTAAAAATATCAATCATCACTGCATGCAATCATTATCATTTTGCAAACTATAAGAGGCAATTGGTGAAACAACAATATCAATCAATAAAATATAAATGCTTTTATGTAAATCTTCTCAAATTTTCAAACAGTTATACAACTATTATAGACATCGTCAATACGATTTTGAAGAATACAGAAAGTATACGTGAGTATTCAACTTCGCACACGCATGCAAACACACACACACATACACACACGCGCGCACACGCATACAATAATATTATTTAATATATCAAAATAGAGTCTTCCACAAAAGAAAAATGTAAAAATATACTATATTGTGGAGAAAAGTGACTCGCGTTTAATTTAAAACTA